TATATATCTTTTGAAAGATGCTTTGAATTAAATTAGTATCATAGTCTACAGTACTTTGATAGGATAATTAATAACTCGGTTTTACTTCTCACATATCTTTATATAATCAATAAGACAAGAATACTTGACTTATAATTAATTTAATGACATTGAATGGTAGTTGCACCATACTTCAAGTCGATTGAATTTTGAATTTCAGGATTAGACCTCAACCTATGAACGCTAACCATGAGGTATTCGCCGCAATGTATGATGGTTCTATGTTTGATCCCTAGAGGGTCGTGCGCGAACACTTAGAAGTTGCATAGGGAAACTGAAGTGTCAGTCATTATTTTAAGCCCATAATATGTCTTATTCTAGTTTTTGGACAAACCAATCTATTCATTCTACTTGAGTCATATTTTGACCTTGTCAATTATTCGCTTATCAGTCTTGACTATTTTTATATGAGCGTATATGTGTGTACACTTCATATCCCATGTCTCATCACATGTCTGTAGTTTATTTTGTCTGCCTATAAATATTGCATAACGCCTGGATAGAAATGGAGTTGGCTTACCAGCCATCTCCTCTGCGCGTCATTTTGCTTTGTTCTATTGCATTCACTTTACATACAAAATATATGTATTCAAAGTCCATTCTCGTTAATTGACTTATCTAAATTCCGTTATTGACTAACGTGATTTAAGCGGATGATTGTATACGAGGATAGGCAATAACAAACATTCATACGATCAAATCGGAGTCAGATCCACGGGTCACTAAAAAACAAAACGGCTATCCATTGCCCCATGGTACCTAAAATGAGATCAATCTGTGACGAACACAGCATATGATTTAATAAGTTTTACAAGTAGATAACATAGTATGTTGAATATGATTTTAATTTTGAATGACATTTAACCATTATCATTTTATTAATTACATATTGCAACAATTTAATTCATTTTATCAAGGCTGTTCAAGGTACATGGTGTAAAACCTCACGTGACTGTTTTAATTATTGTCTGTGTGACTGTTAAGAAAGCGATGGAAACAACTTTATCAACATATAATAATAACAACAATAATGTGGTAGTAGTAATGATAAATAATTATAATAAAGGGTAAACAAATTACACTGATATTTTAATTTTTGAATGCGGTCGTTTTTATATTGTAGATTTTATTATTTAATCAATCGGAATAGAAATTCGAATATTTTTATTATTATTAGTTTATAGTGTATAAGTAAATTAAAAGAAAATAACCCAGATGTACTTTTAGGTAACTTGAACTTTAAAAGATAAGTTAATAAATACTTATTTTGGATAAAGAATATTTAATGACCGTAACTTTCACACGCTTTACTGAACTCAGTAAATAGATGAATTTAGGTTATGAAAATCAAAATTTGCAAAATGAAGATACATTAATCTTGTCCCTATTAATGTAATCTTTATTTATAGAAATAAATTTGTTGTGTCTACATTTATATTGTTCAAAATATTCGTTGAAGTTAAGGTCCTTTGCTGTCTTGTCGTTGCATTACATTTCGTCGAAACGACGTGTCGTTTGTATTTCAAGAATAAATATTAATTCCAAAGGGCGTTATTCTAGTAATCAAGCATGATGATCAACTTGAATGCTACACACTTTCGAGCAATTATTGCTGAATTTACAAGCGAGTTTTCATAATACATCATTCTTTTAACCTTAGCAGCCTTTACTGAAACAAATGACATTTTTTAAAGTGGTCCAATTTTTCGCTTCAGTTTGTTATCTCAATGAATAGTCTGAAATATTTCATGAATTCCAGGAAACGTTTTCTAGAATTTGATCGGAACGTTGATGTCGGATCTTTGCTATTAGTTCATCTGTTGGATTGACCAAGTAGATTCAAGTAATTTTGATGAAAAAAACTGACCAAAAATACATTCAGTAGTACAACTTATCAACAAGATCATTCAACATAGAACATTTAATTAAGCAATTCTGACCTAACTGAATTCCCAACTTTTAAACAGTGAATATACACTAATGATTAATTGGAGATCTAATTACATCTGATCATCAATGCAAATTAGTCAGCAGCGATGTTTATTGGTAGTTCTTTAAGTTCAAGGTTTAAAGGTCAACAAACAGTGAGTTAAATAGTCTGAGACCGAGTTAGTCAATGAGTCACATTATTGACTGTTCTTTGGTAGATTTTCAATCAGAATCTAAATGTCTTTTCGTCTATAAAGCTAAAAATTTGCCTGAAGACCCTGTAAACTTTAGGTACGGTATTTAAAAAGAATTCTATTCCTTTTTAAGGATGGTAAATGTTTTATTTAGGTTGTTAAGAAGATGGGAAAAACAAATAAATAAATAAATAGAACTCAGTTGGTTTTCTCAAAATTAAAAACACACTTAGATTACAAATTAGGAAAATGAAATATTCATGTCAAAAGCGAATTACGTTTAAAACTGAAAACAATAATTTGAAATAAATAAAACGACAACACATAAGGTCAAATTTTTTCTAGTCAAGACAATAATGCAAATATCAGCATTTAGCGATGAAAAGGAACTTCAGTATGGAATGATTAAGAAACTAATTCTTATGACAGTATATCAACATTTGTATTTAAGGTCACACACAGTGGTTTAAACCTAATCTGACCTTAGTTTAACTCAGCAGAAAACTGACTATTTAAGAAAGCATTTTGATATTTTGTATGTCATATTAAGATGACCAGATCGATATATATATATATATTCCCTTGGGTTATCAATTCAGGAATAGACTCGTGAATATTACAATAAGCTATCATCATTAACCAAAGAGCAACGATCGGTGGTCAACATGTGTGAGTTTAAACAAATGCTTATTAATGTCATCTAAATTTAAGAACTTTGAACAGTAAAACGATGCAATTATTTCTAGTTGAACTAAGCAACTTGTATGTTTCACACCAAACTAATGATCATGAATTAATATGTTAAGATACTGAAAAAGAACTGAAAAAGAAACATAGTGCGAATGTAAGAGAACTAGACGAAGGAGACGAAAGATAGAGCAGATTGTTCAACCAATATTAAAATTCAATTGAATAAAAGTACGTACCTAAAAATTCAATTTTTATTAACTTAGAAATGCGCACTAAGGCCAACACAAACTCTTGTGTATTCATGAAACAATGTATCATATTCATTATTTTAAAAATAATTATTTTCCTAGAACCACTATTTACGATGTTTTAGATCATTGGAAGACGCAAATGCATGCATGCTTTTATGTAGTCCGTAGAAATCTGACAGACAAGTGTTTGGATGAACACAGGTTATCCACCTATCTAAATTCCTTTTAAATATGTTGGTCATAACAATGTTTAATGAATTTGATTTCTGAAAACTATAGATAATCTGAGTAGGATTTTCAGGCCAGTCGTTTAGTGTTTCCTGACTTTCAGCAGTTTTGTCGATTTATGTTCACGTGTGATGAATTCTCACCTTCAAATAATACTTTTTATCAGTAAATTTTATTGTTTAGTAATTGGAATCAGTCAAAAGTACTGGTAAAAATAAGTGTGCTGGTCAGCTGCTTCATGTCGGTATGGGTCTTCTAAGTGGTGTCCATCAAAGTATTTCCAGTTTACTGGTAGGTTCATTACTTTGATACCATTGAATTGTAACTCAAGAGTTCATATTTTCAAATTCAACAAGTGGTGAAGTGATTAAATAGCTTTACCATTCAGATTTCAACTAGTAGATCACAGGTTTGAATACTACTTAACATAATTCGATCTTAGAGACCAAGTAGTATCACTAGCTTTTACATCATTATTTCCATTTAAGCGTAAGTATTTATATCTGAGCTTAATAATTGACTTGTATCATCATAAAACTTCATATAACAAGAGATGTTTTATGCCGATTATCTAGTGACAACGGTGGTGGATGGTCCATTCCCCAAGTAGCTAAACTTCATCAGAGCTAGTCGCTAGTGAAAACATGGTTACATTTTAGCTGAGAGATTTTACACATTTTCATTGAAATGAAAACTAAAGTGTGATTTCTCTTCCTTTTATAATTATGTAGTACAACCCTTAGATCGCAATTTATCATTACATCGTAAAAATAATTATCATTTAGATATCTTCACTAAGAGTCAATAACTTATGTAATTTGCAACAGATAATATTTCACATGAATTCATAATTGAATTGAAAATACAAACATCACTAAATAAAAAAATGGACGCCAAATTATTGAATTACCAACAATACTCTCAAAGTTAAATAATTTAGTACGTTCATTAAGTCACATTCTCTTATGCTCGGATAGTAGTCAATTTTATGTTCTATCAGGAAATTCATTATAGCTAGTATTTATATACATTCTTTACGTTAAAAATATTTTCCACATTCATTTTTCTATTAGTTGTTTGAATCTTTCCATTCACGTTTAGGACTGCAATTGGTCAGTCTCATTTTGGCATATGTGCATTCTTTGCGGATTGCCTCGATACTGCCTCAGGTTACAAACATCACAAGCAGAGATGGATATTAGCTAGGGATGGAATCCAGGATGCGCGTTTCTTCCAATTTGTTACCAGACAGCTGGATGTACCTGCACCCCTGCTACTGGGTTCGAGCCCCGGAGTGAACATCAACTCTGGTGTGTAGGTACAACCAAACTTTTCCACAGTTCATTTCAGTGATAGTAATTATTATTGCTAATTAAAATACGTATGTGACTGTTATTCTAAAGTAAGAAAACACTTAAAAAGGACTTTGTATCAGGCGACAGCAATCTGACATATATATATATTGGTACACATCATGATTAAATAAATGATCGTAGAGAGAAATAAAAATATTTAGTAATCTTTCAATCTTAATACACTTGAAAAGACAATGAAGGACAACTATACGGATTATGATAGCTGAACACACATACTTGTGCATGACTGCATTTATAAACGTATGGACAACGCAAAATATCTATATTTTCATGAAGCTATACGAGAAACTTACGAGTACTACTCCTAGATCGAATCTCATCTGGATCATCCGAACTGGGATTTCGTAGTTTACGATCCAACAGGAGAAAATAAATAACTTTTTCAGTATTATGTCTATTAATTGGTAGAAGAAAAGAATAAATGAAAAGAGTAAAAAAATTCAAAAATAAAATAAAGTTTTCAATTTTTATCTCTGAGGTTCAAAACTGATTTTATCTTTTTCCGTTTGGATACCAACAATAATCTTTACAAAAATATTTGGTTTAAAACCCAGTAAATACGAATCTGTATTTCGTTTATGAGTTACACTAAATTAAAAAATAGTCATATGGTTAAAATTGATTTTATCGTAATCTATTGTAGACTTGTCAAGGTAATTTAAGTACTATCATTTCTTTATCAATTATGAAATACTTTCCAGCATATATATGTATAATATGAGACGTGTCATCGCTTACTTATATATATAGTAATCATGTACGGTCAAATCCTATATATATATATATATATATATATATATATATATATATATATATATATATATATATATATATATATATATCGTTACCTTAACATAGAATATCGAATAGGGAAATATATTCATACTGACATTTTCAAAAATGTTAGTGACATCCAACATAATAATCAGCGTGATATATATATATGTATGATTTATTGCAGTCAGTTGTTAAATTCATCATATTTTTTAAAACTATTAACTATATATATGATGCTGTATGAGCTATCATTATCCTACTTCGATTTTACAAGTATTTAAATCCTTTGAATATGAAAATCCTTCATTAAATTGGTATGTAAGCATGTTCCACTATTGACTTACGCAAATAAGAAGCAATCGATTTTTTAGAGAGATGATAACGGATTCTTTCAAGACTTACCAACACAACAGAAAAAAAGGGTTTGTATACACATGATACAATTCTTTCCACAACTAAAGGAATGTTGATTCGTTAATAGATTATGAAATCTGTTTAATGAAAATACACTATGACTAGAATTATTACGCACTTTTATACTTAAAATAGAAATGATTCTCCTAATATTCATCAGGTAACTAATTCAATAGTTGTTACACCATAGTCTTCTAAGACATTATTTTGGAGTTTATTTAAAAAAAATTGTTACTGAAGATTGAACAGATATCAGCCTAATTGAAATAACTTGTATTTTCAATTTAATTTCGTTTCTAGTTGTCTAAGTGTTATAGTCATATGTTATGTTTAATGGAAGTTGTGAAAAGCCTCAGCATTTTCTTGATTATAAGTTGTTTGTGGAGGTATACGCCAACAAAACCATTTTAATTGGTTGTTTAATATTTAAAATATTTTGTTGACTACTGTAGACTTAAGTAGGAACAATATTGTGAAACCACAGTCACTGCATCCTGAATACAATAAAAGAGTGGAATGTACATAATTAAATTAGTTTTAAGTAATTGATTGATGAGAATAGTCAATTTCAATTTGAGTTAGCAATATAATAAAACCAAATATAATAGTGGTTGGTCATCCATTCGTAGTTCACGGTGTACGATAAAAATTCATTTGCTTTCTGATCATTTGTATTTACTATTCCCAAAATGAATAGTTTCATTTTACTTAACTGACGATTTTCTAAATCTTGGATAACAGCTCCATGTATATGGAAAATACTGTTATCGACTTTAAAACTTTCAGAAGGTATTACGCCCATAACCACTTTTGTGTAAAGTGATTTCAAACAGAAAGTATAGTACAAGTATTTTGAAAGCTAGGAATTATGAGTTCTAGACAGAAAGGACTTCCATGCCATTTTCATATGATGAGAATGTTTTCACAAAAGCATGCGGGTTGATGTGTTCATTCAGTGTTTACAGTGGTGGTATGCGTAAAGAAATTGTAACCAGACGACTGAAGAGGTTTTAATTTCTTATTTATTGATAGGAATTAACCGCAGAGTCGTTAAACAAAAAGCAACATGTAGGCTTTGTTTAATTATTGGCATTGTTTCAATAAATTGTACATAAGAACTGTGATTAAAAAGACATAATGAGTATTCTAAGAAAACTATCTAATTTTGAGATCATTAGTACATACAAGTGATGACAATCTAACTTTAAGTATACAAGTAACTGAAAGCTATATAGGATGAAGAAAGATCATTACAAGATACATTAAACTTCAACAGTGATTCAATTGATTCCAGACTATTGTTTACATTATATTCTATTGGACAGCACTTTCGATCGCTACACTCTTCAACATAATGAAATAACTATATCTAATATGTCAGAGTTCACAGTTGTGTCTAAAGTTTAACTTTTTCAAATATAAAGAAAGAAGTCAGTCATAATATCGCTTCATTGAATAATGTAAATATCTTAAAGTTTTGTCATAAAAACATCGAATGTATTGACTATTGCTTGTCTGCTAAAAGCCTAGTAACACATCAATTGATTTGAAGTAGAAATGGATGATGAATAGCAGTGGGATTCAGGACACGCATTTCTTCTATCTCAGGACTCGTCAACTAGGCAAATCTAAATAGTCTAGTAAAATAGTGTCTAATTTTACCTCATTATCTTAAAAAATAACAACTTCGGAAATTCCAATAATTTATCGAATGTCAAACTATTCATAACAATAATAACAGTAGTGCACTGGTTAAAAATGCATGCGATTTCATAAATCATCCAACTTCAAAATCTTATCTCTATTAAATAATTTTTGTTAACAAGTGAGCAGAAGAAATCTCTGAGGTACTTTTCTACAAAAATATAAGCAAACAAAACAGTTATGCTTTCTTTTTCCATGTCTAAACAAAATAGACCACACTTAATAAATACAGTGGTCACAAGACTGTGAATCACAATTTTTTTACAAATATGGATCAATCACAAACAAAATCATTTCTAACATCTATCATTAAATATGTATGTTTCACTAAGAGACACTTCCTGATTTTATATATAATAGTCGTTATTATTATTTTTTTATTTATCTCATCTATGTTTCGAGGTCCAGCATTTCTTACAACTAGATCTGGACATTATGAAATGAAGTTTAACCATTTTTCAAATGTGTAAAACATCATTTGAATTAGTTTAATTGAAAGGTTTAAATAAGACAAGAGTACTTTTTTCTTTAAAATTTACAGATACATATATATTTTGTAAAAAAGTGTACAAGACATTTATTTCTCTTTAACTACTCAAACTAGTTTGCGAAAATCTTTCATTGTTTAAGACAATTAAACACTCAATTATTGATAAAAAGCACTTGATTTTTGTGGTAAATGATTGAGTAATAAATTAGAAATATTCGTGCTACTTAATGATTTAGCAAGCTTTCATGAGAAATATCTCGTTGAAAGATAAGTAACTTAATGTGAATTGAATAGTTGTGCTACATTGTTCAATACGATAACTTATGATTATTGATTGAATTTAAAAAGAAACTATGAAGTGATGAAAATTGTTTCAGGTGTTACAGTTCCGTAGCGAATTAAAGTATAATGTTATATTTGGAACTGCCTACCACCTATGAAGTATTAGGTATTTAACGTCGATTCTAATGATTGAAAAGATAGATTACAATAATTGTAGAAAAGAAAAATAATTATGATGTATGACAAAACAGTGACTATTCCAATTACAAGACATATATATATATATATATTCCATAATTCTCAGTGAATTGATTATTCATTTTCATAATTTTTATCTAACAATAAAAATATAAATTAACCGTTTTTTCTTCTTCAACAAAGTGAATTTATTATTTAAAATTTCATTAGATAAAGTTGATTCTCATGAGTTGATTACGATATGCGATTCACGAGTCAGATTAAATTAATAAATAAATTTTCTCGAAATACATTAGTTTTCAGATAGTAAACTGAATCCGTAAATAAAATGAATATGTATAGTTTTTGATTGAGATCATGAACCGATTGATGTTAGACCACCACAATTGGAAACCTGGAAGTACTGGACGGCCGTTTCGTCCTATTGTGGGACTCCTCAGCAGTGCGCATCCACGATCCCGCTCGCGGGATTCGAACCCAGGGCCTTCGGTCTCGCGTGCGAACGCTTAATCAACTGGACCATTGATCCGGCATCCAATGGTGATAGTTTCTAACATCAACCAATCCACAAAATTGCGCGACCAACTTCCGTTGTACTGAGGTAGATAGTATTAGTTTTCATTTAACAAAGTTCAACCAGTCGGTCAGTCAGTTAAAAGCAATGTGGAATTCGGCATTTACGTTGAGATGGTGATGAAGATTTGTAGCTCTAGTGAATAATTTAGATAGAGTTTTGCTCTTTGAGCTGTTGTTGTTCTTCTGAACAATTATAGCTACACAACCAAACCATCCAACTCACAAAACGAAACTCCACCTGGGCATATATGTATTATATTACGATGTGTCCGACCATAGTACTATCATAATATACAATTCTCTCATATATATAAGCCCAAACCAGCTACTTGAGTGGACAGATCAAGAGTGAAAAAGAAGTTTTAATGGGTAAAGGGGATAGAAAGATATATATATTTCTTAGGAATAAAAGCCACATGAGGTATGTTTTGCTTCTTAGAAAGGGAAGCCAAATCTTGATCATTAGTATGCTATAGTCATCTGAATGGTGTCCGATAGGCATACTGTATCAACGTCTGCATTATTTTAATATAGTGAGATAAAATTATCAAGATGGGTCAGGGTAGTAAAATTATCAACACAATTGCTGGTAGTTGAAAATGTTAAGCTTGGACAGTATGATATCAGAAGGTAGAATAAATTTGTGGAATAAAAGGTATAGAATAATTTTAGAAATCAAAATTGACTGGAAAACGAAGAAATAATCCACTTGCTCCATATATAACAATTCTGAATCATGTTACCCAACACCTTAAATCATTGGTAACGGTAATCACGGAGATTTAAACAATGTCTCCGGAATCTATCTACACGTTAGCATGTAAGCATAGGGTTAAGAATAATCGTGAACAAATCGTGATTATTATATAATCCTGAATTAAAGAATCTATATAAATTCTTTTTTTATTAGTTGTTCAGATCTTTCCATTTATGTTTAAAACTGAAATTTATCAGTCTCTTATTGGCATATGTGCATCCTGTGCGAGCTGCCTCGATATTGCCTTAATTCACAAACATTATAAACAGAGATGGACAGCAATCAGCACTGGATGCACATATGCCAATAAGAGACTGATAAGTTGCAGTCTCAATCACTGATAGAAAGAGTAAAACAAACAACACAAAAATGAATAAAAGCTTCACCCCTTTGCACGAGCTAGTGAATATCCGGATTCAGTAGCTAAGTGGATAACGCGAAGGCGTTTGAAGCAAATGATACTGCGTTCGAGTTCCAGTGTGAACATGAAATTTAGGATGCAGGTTCATCCAGCTGACAAGTCCTAAATAGGATGAAATGAGCGTCCAGAATTCCACTGCTAGCCACCATCCATCTCTGCTTATAATCAATATAAATATACTGTTATGCAAAAAGCACACACTAGAGATAAGAAAAAAGGAAACAAGAGCATTATTTTCGAACTTACACCGGAGATAATAATTCTTCAACTAATCTTTCTTGATCACGAAAACATTGTAAGGAAGTCATTGTAGAAAATATATCAGGATCTATATCTGCACGTGTAGGAATAATAGCAGTTTGTACAGCTTGAGTCATTGGCAGCTCCAAAGGTAAAGGTGTATTTTGATCACTAAAGGTAAACAAGTAAGTAATATGATTAGTAATAATAATAATAATAATAATAATAATAATAATAATACCAAACTCAGAAACAATAACGAGTACAAAATTAAATAAGGCTATTATTTAATAACATTCCGCAAAATTTGTTTCCCTCTTGTTGGTATTTACCTAACGTTTAATCTTTTCCACTTACTTATATCCATTCAATACGGATACACATTAAATAGGAAAATGTTGAAATGACATAGAATTATTGTTAGCTCTAAGGAAATTTAGATGAAGGAATAAAAGTATATTTGGCCAATGATAAACATTAAAATGAATGTACATACAAGATAACTGATAGTTATGTTGTTTTTGAATAATGAGGTGAACAGACATTATGATTGTCTAGTTTTTAGTGACGATCGATAAAGAATGATCATAGATCACAATCATTGTAACGAGATTGTAAACAAGTGAAAATGATATGTCATTAGCTGATAAGTGTTTTTTTATTATTCATATAAGATGTAATACATATTGTATTCACAGGTATGAAATACATACAATTCAAATATAAAATTATAAAATTTTTGGCAGAAAAAGAACAACCGAGATATCGTTATTATTAACGAGGAATGAACTCAGTCAGTCTATATTGAGGTAATAGATGTAATTAAATTTGTGACGACAGACAATTTAGAATTATTGCTTTACACAATGCATATGCCAACAGACATTGATTTGCAATCAGTCCTAAGTATTAAGAACGAGAATAAGCAAAAAAAGGATCAACATTATTTTTCTGAAGTAACATACACGAATATAAGCCTCGACTGAAGTGTTATTAATGTGACATTAAAAATTAAGAAAACAAATGTATGATAACACAATGGATTTAAAAGAGAACCGAAACTGAAACATCTGAACACGATGGCTGGTATCCAATAGTTGTTTTGTTCACAGAAATGTAATGCTTTTCAGTTGGTTAAAGAAAATGAATAAAGACATTGAAGTTAAGAAAATGAAGTCAGCTCATGCTGAGAATAAAAGGTAGATCAACTTTCTCAGTTATTATTTATTTCAATTCAATATATATATATATATATATATATATATATATATATATTCTTGGGACAGTTTACATGTTTTTAATAATGTTGTTGACGGTATGAAACTGTGAAAAACAGCTGTTGAAAGAGAAAACGGTCAGTGATTTTCACGACAAACAGATATACATAATTTACTTTTTCAAAACATATTTTAAGTGAATCAAACAGTGAAATAGGATGAACATGTGAAAAAAAGAAAATCTTAACATATTTTTTTAAATAATGGATAACACCATACGTAATATTAGTCACCAGTTAGAGGACAGTTGTTTCTGATTTATAACGGTAGCTGACCAAGTTGATATGCGAAAACAAAACTATCCAAGAGATATATGGAAGAGAAGTTAATAGAACCAATAGCTATTGAATATAAAAGTGTCACTCATCGAAATCAAACACAACAGTTTACGTAGTAAATTTCGTATTGAATATTATTTTAAAAAATAGGACTTATTTATTCTTTTGAATACGTACGTGTGTTACTTAGACTTGGAAAAACACCAACCACTCAAAACTTTGTTGTTTACACCTTTGTTCTAATACAAATTGAAAAACATTACCGTTAGTTGTGATCACTATTAAACATCCGGTTAATTAAGAAACACAAAATGGAGATATAATAATCTAGTGTTGATATTGTCGATAATTTCACATAAAATTCCAGTTAGTTATTTGTAGATAGATATAGATTTTAAGGATAACAATTATGACTTATTGACTAACTCAATTAGTCCTATTGTTTACAATGTTGAACAAATCAAAATTCAAATGATGATCTGTAATTTATGAGACAGAAGAAAAGCTAATCGTATATCGAATCCAGACACAATAAATAAAGTGTGGAGATATTTAACAACTAAAAATCAACTTGATACAGTAATTTATTCTAGAGGTTATTTCCGTTTTTATTAACAATTTTAAGAACTAACAACAAGTCTAAACATCCAAATAAAATTTATATTAATTGAACGGCCCATAGATGATTAACAGTTTTGAGTTTAAAGTAGGATAGTTATAACGTCAATGACTGTGAAGTCAGTTTCAGTCAAAAGTGAAACACAAGTATGCATTTACCATGAGAAGCAACAACGTAAATGATTGGATTAGTTAATAAAAGATTTGAACAATGAATTGAGATATAAATTAAAAAAAACTATAGAAATATTGAAATAGAAAATTCACGTATTAAGGCAGCTAAGAATTGTTAAATCACAATAATTGAAAAATAAGATGTACGGATGGATTGACTGTCCTTTTAATTTTTAAAATTTTCTACTTATTTTGTAATGGATAATAACGTTGATCGAAAATCAGGGATATCTAATTGAACAAACTCAAAACAGTGATTTTATATTTCTAGTCAAGACTGTGAATTAAATTCAGCTAAATAAATATTGTAGACCAAAGAACACTACACAGCTACTTAGTGCATGTATGACAGTAGGTGATGGTTATGTAATATTGACTAATAACTTGAGTTCATTTTGACTATTTAGGAATATTGAGCACCTTCATTTCTGAAGGGTATTATCCTATAATCATTCAGTCTTCCCTGTCTAGTTAAATTTAGTGCATGAATTGAGAAAACTTCACAAACATCCCGTGCTAATAGTCCTAGACTAAACTATGAAACACCTTAAAATGTAATCAAAATTTAATAGACAAAAAACCAAAGGGTTCATCTGCGAATGATTATCTTACATCATAGTACTGATAACAAACTTTTTGAAGGTTACGGTGATAGAGAATAGTTTAAGTAAATTACGGGGTTTAAACTTCACAGAATATCATTATTTATTTTACTTAACTTACTATGAACAACATTCTTTAGGACTGCATATACTTTTCGGATGAATTGAAATAGTCAATAGAAACGGCATATACTCATTCTAAACTAGAAAAGTATGTAAATATGCTTGAAAAAATATACGGCGATAAAAGCAGTAGTAAGATAATAATCACGTATATTTTTGAAATCATCAGACCAGAAATATTCTTTCCAATTAATGTTACTTTATGTTTAACTTGTTCTTTTGATCTTTATGATATTTGAATGCTTATAAAGGTTTTATTAGGTGTTTTAAATTTATCCTGACGATTTATAACATAAGAGAAAGTTGTTAGTTAGCATATATATTACGCTTTAATATAAGTGCGTCAGGAATGGGAAGCAGACATAAAGAGGATGAATAGCAATTGGAAAGAACTTGAAAGGATTGCCCAGGACAAGGTTGAATGTTGGGCGACCTATGCTATTACACGAGGGGTAACAGGCGTAAGTGAGTAGGTTTAATATCATTAGGCTTAACGTATAAACACACGAATTGCAGATAGATCATTTTTTATATCAGAGATTGTTTCCTACCTAAAAATGCAAGGAACAGTTAGTCTATAGTCTGAAGCGATAATGATTACTCGTAAACTGAATAATTGCAATGGGAAGTAAAGTGAAATAGATTACCACAAAGAATATGAATATTTTCTAGTCTGATTTTCTAAGTTTTTTGTCAAGATGGAAGACATATTTCACGTTAAAAGAATGCTTTTAATAAGGATTTATTTTTCTAGAGGATTAGAAATCAGTAGATAATTGATTTTTTGATTTAATTTTAATTCAGAATGGTGTAAAGATGTAAACGTTTTTTCTAGGTAGTGTAGTTGGATCAGGTTTCGCACAAGTCACATATCGGATATTGGCAATTTTATTCTTCTCAAGCGTTTCTTTTCGCATTTTGATAATGCGTCCTTACCATTTAAATTCTATTATTAATTGATTAGCTCTGTTGACACAATGTTGTGACAACAATCAAAATTTATTTTGGAAAGTGATCGTTTCATTGATAAATTGTAAGGATTTACCTTGATGTTATAAACTACTAAATTACAAGATTATTAATATATTACCAACGCTAATATTCGTATCTAATACTAGTAGTCAATGTTAGTGTAAAATGGACAAATATTGATTAAATTAGGCACGATTTATGGAAAAAATATTTGTTCTCATCAGCCGTTTTCTAGTCTATCAACAAATTAGCGTTTGTTTGGCAAGGAATTTTCACTACAAAGTAAAATAGCATCCATAACTAATAAAAGATACAAAATATTGATCAATTACATTCAATGGTCTTGCACAAATATGAGTTACCTCAAGTTGATGATACGGACAGTGAAATGAAAATACTAAATGTCAAAGCAATAATAGTATTCATAATGATAATGAAGACTAAACATTCACAGTATAGTTCAATAAGAAGTAGATAAGATCTCCAGTGACTGACTGCTTTCTAATCACGTGACCTTCAACCAGGTAGTTTCGACAATACGGCTAAGTCCAATAGTCAACGATTTCATAAACTGATAGCAAGTCTTAGTTTAAACAGATATTTATTATTAGTGAGATCTTGGAGAAAGCGCGATAATTTTAGAGAATTTTCAAAGAAGAATGAAACAGTTATTCCTTGATCCTTGATATTGAATACCTTTTCAGCTCATCTTAATTCGTGATGAAAAATCTCTTCAAATCTATATAAAGATAGCTAAATCAAAAATATGCCTTTGTGTATACACATTTTAGAAAGAGAAAAAACCGAGTAATCAAAAAATGTTTCTGAGTATAGGGAACGGAAACAAGTCATTAAAAGTATTTGTTTTGACACAACTCAACAATGCTAAACGTCAACTTTGAGAGCCTAATTAAATATCTAGTGAAATTGAAAAGAAACTTTCACATAAAAAAGGTATAGAATATAAATAAACGATTGAAAAAATATTCACTTGTTATGTGAGATAAATATTAATCAAGTATAGTAGCGTGAAATGTTTGGTTGTTAAGTTGTATGAAAGGATAATCGATACAATCCAATCAGAAAATATTATGGACAACTCCAAGATATATTTAAAAACGTTTCAAGGAATAAAGCGTTTTCTGATTTGAGTAATCTGGTCTTTATTATATCTATATTTTATGCGAACTAGGTAAATGGTTACATACATAAACTCAAATCATCACTAATAAGATGTTTTTTTAAAATCACATAATTCAAACCATTATATCTGCTGTCAAAAATATAAACAAAGAAATGTCTATATTGATTACATATAACCGAATAATGATTTATATGTCAAAATTCTTTTATGCCAAAGTACATTATATTTTTCCACTGATAGAACAAAAATCGTAAAATTTAATCAAATTTGACTCGACTGTTTAAACAACATTTGAAGATAATATTAACCAAATACGGTTGAAAATATTAGTCAAATGATTGAAAAAGATTCATAACATAAAGGATATAGGGATGTTCACTTCATTTTAATCAGTAAGCTTAGTTTATAATTCTTAAGCTAAAAGTCAAACAAGTTTCTGTTTATGTCATAGTTTAAATATATCATCCAAAATGTAACTGAGAATTCACTAATTTCATTGAAAGTATGGAACAAACCACTATTGAAAATTGGGAAGCAGTGAATGGCCATTTCGTCCTAGTATGGAACTCCTCAGCAGTGAACATCCTCAAACTAGCACAATACAGTCAAAACTAGGAACTTCGGTCTCATGTGAACGCTTAACCTCTAGATCATTGAGTCGGGATCCAACGCTGTTATTGTCTAACTTCAATCAATCCACATTGTTACGCGAACATTTTCCATTATCTTTGGTGAGTAATTGCCACACACTCAATAAGGCTTCGCTACACTGATTACGGATCCCTACTAGAACTCTGGGACGTTCCTCTCAAAACTAGTTGCTAGTGAGCACATGATAACTAATAGCAAGGGGTTGTGGAAATTGATAAATGTTACCGTCATTAATGACACCCAACAGTCTACATAGTCCCTTACTGAAAATCCATTAATTCCTTACTTTAGCGTCTGAGTTTGTATCCTCAGTTATGTGCTGATGTATGCAACATTCAAATTACATCAATTTAGTCAGAGATTTATTCTTGTTCTGACTAATGAGAACATTATGGCTAACAGACAGATCTCATCAGTAAACAAAATATAAGAGTTTTATGTTAGAAATTTCAAATCTAAGTAAGTAAATGGGAGTTTATAAAGTCTATGGTACCATAGAAAAAAACCCATCAACACCCTAAATTTCAGTGTAATTTTTTAAAACACAAATAAACATAGTAAAGTACAGGATTTCCCTGTAATCAACAATACATACTTATAATGCAAACTAACAACTTGGAAAATCCATAATATATGATTTGAATACTATTGATAATTTTGTTATCAATGAAAGTGATAGATCAGTGAATAAGCGTTTCTTACTTTTACAATTGTCGATTGGTAAGATTTATTCACACAGAACGAATTCAACTTAATATCTACAGAAATTCTTCAAGAATATAAAATTCCTATATGTAAACTATTTAGATTTTTCTAACCTTTAAAATACTATGAGGAATGAAGTAGAAAAGGTACGTGATGTGTAAAATATCATTTTTATACTTACTCACCAAACTAGATACATTACTAACCAATCACAGTATTATCATAATTAATACTAGTTCATCAATTATAGATTTTATATATATTCAACTACAAGCAACTGAGTTTTTCGCATTATTTATTATTATTACTTACTATAAACATATGTATATGTAGGTAGATAGATAAATAGGTACACTACCGGTCTATTGCACTTACACTATTCGATCATTTTCCCAGTTCATCCATCCCTCTTAGCTTTTTTTTCCAACTTTTTTCACGACTACTGATAATAATATGGTTTGCAATATTTCTAGTTTTTATATACAGTTTGGTAATTTTATCTAGCTGTCTCTGACATGTGGTTTTGTATTTTTTTGTGTGGAGCCGATATCAATCTACACCATAATCTACACTTTGTATTTTACTGAATAAAGTGGAAAAATTAGTAATAAATATCGACGTTTTATTCTTGTTGATATTTTTCAATCAAAAGAGGAAATGTATTAATCTAAGTTAAAACTTCATATTTTTATTCGTTACATACTAGAAGTAGTACATTTAAATTATCGGTTTTTAAGAACAAAAATAATCTTAAATCTGTGATATCTCAACGTGCAAGAAATTGATTTGTTGATATTTTGCAGCTTATTGTAAATCTCTCCTTCAGAGAAAAAAGAAAGAAACGAGTTGAATTAACACACATTTAAATAATACGTCGGAAACAAAACAGGATATTCTTAGTTTAATCGAAATAACTCTGATGAGATCCCATAGTGCTTGTACCATCGGGAACTCTTTGATAAACGCGGTGTCGAAGGTCAATTATCTTGGTGTCACCTTTTCCTCTGATCTGTCTTGGTCTTCCCACGTTTTATCGTTATCAAAGAAGGTTTTCCGTCTGACCTACTACATAAAGAAATTGCATGCTCTTGGGATTACTCGTCATTTTCTCTTACAATTTGTCAATTCTTGCATATTACCTATTATTCTTTACTGTTCTCCATTATTCTTTAGCGGGCTTTTGAGAAAAGACTTTGCTGTATTGCGAAGAGTACTAAAGGCAGTTAGTAAGACGTGTAGTGAATCTTTCGAGGTCATAATTAATATGGTTGTGGATAGACATTTAAAATCATGCAAACTCCTGGCAGGTATTATTTTATCAGATACTAGCCATCCCCTTCACTTTTATCTTTCTCCTTGAATAGCTTCTGGTAGAACGAGAAGTAATTACATTAAAATCCTTGCACGCAAGGAAAAGTATAAAAGTTCTATAATACCTTACCTAGCAAATATACTCTGTGATGAACAGGTTGTTAGAATTAACCTAGTCAATAACTTACATTCTTAACATGTCTTTAATTTTAAAAGTTTGTAGTTTCTTTTGGGTTTTTTTTATTTTATTTTATTTTAATTTTATATATTTCTTTATGTATTCGCTACTGCCTTTTGTTCGTTGTTCAGTAAGTAACTTGTTGAAATACCCTGTGCTGAGAATTCTATATTGTACCAAAATATAATATTGAATAAAGCCATTAATAATAATAATAATTATGTTAATCTCATGTTACTTCAGCTAAACATAATTGTTTGTGAAACATACTTGTGCATACTTCTGCGTATTTTGGTGAATATGGCAAACTAAGCAATTCGTAATATGGTGCAGATGAGTTAAATTTATGTATTAATGTTATAAGATGTGAACATATACCACAAGAGACTGAACATTTGCAATCTTTAAGATCAATAACATGAGAATTTACACACAAATAAAACACAGTTGAATATGGTTGGCTTGGATAAAATGATCCAGGTCAGATGAATGGTAAAGCCTTCTTTTCTCCTGAGAACAATAGGTATTAGCAATTTATGAAAAGTTTAAGTCATTCATGTTTTTTTATAGTTAAGAAAACCTCTGAATGATACTGATATTATTAATCTCGATCTAGTGATCATTGAGAATAGGTTGTACTGTTATTGTTTATTCGATTTGAAAATTCTTGTGTTCTACAGAACTACTAGTTTTGATGGTGAAAACTATTTTCTATTAAGCTGTATTTGTCAGCTTTTACGTATTTATCGAGGTCAAATCAAAATCCTTTATGTGAATCAAATATAATTCAATAAACAGCAAAAAATAAAGTAATATATTATAAGTAGTAGTATTAATTAGTAGTACTAATAAATAAACTCACCCAATGACCCACTTATGTTCTAGTACCTCCTTCAACTATTTAAAAAGGAAATCAGAAAAGACAAAAAGCATTTTGATCAGAAACGTTTAACGTAAAACCTTGAGAAGGAAGTGAAGCACATTGTACATTATTAACTTACTTATATACACATTTCAGCGTATATTAAAGGTCTCATTTGTTTGTATGATGTGACACAATGTAAGTTCAAATTTCGAGAAGGTGACGAGATTAACATTTCGAGTTTTTTGTCAACTAGTAAAAGCTCTGAAGGAAATAAACAATATTTCATCGTATCATACAAACGTCCCCAACCCTAGCAATAAATTTGATTTTAATGATGTCGATAGTTTATTGTTTGATCATGACTAAATATTTTCAATCCGAGTTTAATGAGTGATTAACATTTGATTACACCATGTCACTTTTTGTCTATTAATCAACTAACTTTTAGCTAATATTTAATCAGATATTGAATTGTATTTACAGTGTTAGATAAACAAAGTAGGAATCGATCCGACAAATCCAAAATCTTCGAAAAATGCTGCACATGTTCCTGTGAAAGGTCATGAATTCATGAACAAAGTACACACAAATAAAGATGGTCGCCTCATTTGGAAAACCATTGTATCAGCCCATGGTTTAAAACTTCTGAAGTCTTTACATAGAACTACAAAAAATTCTTACAAATGACTTAAACTTCGTGATCATTACAATGTCACTCATTCACTCAGTCGAAATCCACTATTCCATTTATTTTAAAATAAGTCAATTTACAAGATGACAACAATATTACAATTCAATAATTCTGATTAGCTTCAGCCGTGCCTACAATTATCTAAATGAGGATTGTTCAATAGTTTTAAATTTACCAAAATGAAGTTCACCATAGTAAAGATTATTACTAACTTCCATTAACGTAACACCCAAGATAACCACTTCAACATCGCAGTTTTTTTAAATATATGACTTTCCGATAAGACTAGTAACAATGAACAATATTTCTCATTACTGTTTAAAACAGAGACTAAAACATACAATTATGTACGAAATAAGATATAGATGCATATTGCTCATTTTAAAACTCAAACCAATACAACTGGTACGATTTGTATAGCAAACGTAATTGTAAGCTATTTTTTGTTTTATTATACACTGGCTGCATTTTACCTTTGGTTGTACGGGCTTTTTAATATTTAATTTTGATTTTACTACACTACTTAAAACTTTATTGATTAAACTCTTCATTGTATGTTCTAAAGATTAATTCATGAAATAAAAAAGAAACATTCTTCATCTATTTATTCTATAGAACTGTTAGTAAGTTCAATTCATAAAATGTGATTTTGCAAACAATGGTTGAAAAGAATCCTCAAAATAAAATTTCCTACAAGAAAGAGAAGTATTATCAAACAACAGAAAATGTGTACAATTAATTTATGGAAGTAAAGCGGGCTGTTTAACCAAAATAAAAACGCTAAATTAATAATAAAAAGTATCCAAGAAAAATACAATCCTGAGATTATAAAGATACGTCAAGTTATGCGGCTACAGTCAATTACAATGCAATGTATATCAAACTATACTTGATCCCATTTATAATGCATAAAGAATGAAAAACAAAGGGAAGTGAAACTCTTAGGTAGATGAATAGGTAAAGGGAAGAGATAGGAAAACCGTTGCCATGACAAGACTGTTGTATTGTTGAATTCTGAAGTAACGAACAATAAATAATCCATCAGAAAACAATTAAGCTTAGTACAGCAAGAATCATTAATGTAGATAAATGCTAAAGAAACTAAAATGTTCATTTTATTAATAAAGAGAAAAGAGGAAAGAATGAAGAGAAGTGTTGGATGCATAAAAAAGGAATGACAGTAAGCTAAAAGTAGTACAGATGATGCATAAATGACAAAACAGTTTCCAAAATTAACAGGAAAATTTCTACAGAACAGTAAACATGAAAAATGATAGTTACGTTTTCGTTTTTAATAGATACATTCATAAGGTTGGAAATAAATGGTATTATCATTCATTTATCCATTTGATATAATGTTTAGTAGTAAATCACAAGATTACCAAAGAAGGAACGTAAACAAAGCTGTATATTATACTGTATATTTCTAAGCTTCTGGGTTAAATTTCTAAGATGAATTTTTTTGAAACAATCTACAACTTCAACAGAGCATGAAAAATTAGTAACTTTTATCCTGTTCATCACAAACCTAAATGATGTAGTATCATAAAGGTTGGAATGAGAGACTAACAGAAGCAACATGGATTTACAACTGAATTATTACACAAGTAATAGCCTATCAGGTAATATTGATATTTGGTTGTAAAGAAAACACACGTCTGACTACGTACACAGTATTTAAAAGAAAAATGAACAAACATATATCACTCACTAACAAGAGAGAGATGAACACAAAATTCTGTGATTAATTTACTTGTTAAAAACAAGTTTAAATCCATCAGTTTTTGAAATCATTGAATTAAGCGAAATAACAATTTTCACACATTTATATAACGAATAATCACCTTTTTACCAGTGGCTAACTTCGAGAGGTAAATCTCGGAGTCCTGGTGAAAAGCTGTGACCAGTAAAGCCGAAGTTTACTCACCAATTGCAATGGATGATGGTCGCGCTTTTTCGAGAACTGACAAGAATTAGAAAATGTAAATGATTGGATACTAATTCAGTGGTCTGAATGTTAAGGGCTGACTGAAAAGCCCAAAAATATTGAGTTCGATCTCCGGTGAGGCAGTGAACGTACATTATTGAACAGTCGTATACTAGAATGAAATGAAAAATCAATCTTTCCTTTTTTCCAATGGTTGTCTAACTAAAGTCAATAGGTAACGCAATTTATGTAATAAATTATTTAAACCTTCTATACTAAAAGTATATACGATATTGCAAATTACCATCTTCAATTTTCCTCAGGTAAACTTGAATAACAATTATCAACAGAAAAATATGTCTCTTTATTCTTTTATCAAATACAATCGATCGAATAAAAAAGAAATAGTTTGTTTTGTTTTAGAAAACAATATAAACAAGTATTAGAAAACTACACTACGTGTAAAAAAGGCTCAAGCATGACTAATATGCTATTCAAAAGGGATGGTTCATTATAAGTAAGCATAAAAGTGAATAGGTATTAAAAATCTTACAATATAAAGTTACATTTACCAAAAAAAAAATCGATTTTCAAGAATACCTGGCTGTTTGGCAATGTTTACAAGAATAATTCTTTGGAAAGAATAAGTTTAGTGTGAGTATTTTTATGTAAAGAACTTTTATTTTTTCATACTTTATATAATAAATTACAAATGAAATAGGAAGTTTGTTCAGTAAGACAAATGTTTGTGGTACTGGGGTTCGACCCTGTCGGGATAGTTGTATACGGGCAGTGGAAGATGGTCGTATAATATTCCAAACTGATTGAAGTTAGACATAAACATCATCTGATACTAGCTCAGTGATCTAGAAGTCAAGCATTCTCGCGCGAGACAAAAGGTCCTTGATTAGACTCCCGATGGTGGGTCATGGATGAGCAGTAATGGTGAGCTCCATACTAGGACAAAATAGATGTTTAGAGCTTTTTTGGTTCTCCGATAGTAGTTTGACTAAAGTAGGTCCTTCATTTAAACTATGAAAATGAAGACATCATGGTTATTTGACGATTCTTCATATTTTATATGATTTTCGGTGACTAACATAGACAGTTCAATTTTCTCCACATGATATTGAATCCACTTTAACATATTCCGTGATATTTCAAACCCGAACTCATTTTGTTTAGTTTAATTCATCTGAGTTCGTGATTTCTTATTTCGACACTGAAACTTTACAACTCAGACAATATATACTTTTGTTTTATAAGCTCAGCTGAACATCACTTGAATTTGTTGGTTAAAATAAAAGTAACCTATATAGCGAATGGTTTTCTGTAGTTCTGTAGAACATTTTTCAAAGTTGCCAACATGAAGACTGGCCAATATCTATTCATCCCAGAATCAACAATTAAATAACTCTCATTATTGAATGTATGTAAAATAAGTAGCCAACACATATTTAACCAATAATCTTCTTTAATCATCTCTCTCTTTAATAAACATCGAAGCTTAAGTAGTATGGATCTATCAACTATATCATGCAATCCATTCAGTGATTGTATTTTCATTTCACCCTATTGACTATACAATGTATACACATAAGATGATAAATTATCGGACCACAAAACTGTCAACATTAATTATTTCTTTAAATATATGTGTATTTACACACAGAAATATCAAATGAAAGTGGACATTCAAATGTAGAATTAAAAAAACGATAAAAATATCAAATAATATTTCAACTTAATTTCAGAAAAAGAAAAAATCAAGCAATAAGTTTATATAGATTTAAATAGAAATTGTTTGTTTGTTTCTACTATAAAAATAAATAAATAAAAATCAACTAAACTTACTGTAATACGTTTACGTGTATCCACTTCAATCATAGATCTTAATAATGACTGACAATCACTTGAAACAAATGCTGGTATATGAAATACGCCTTTCTTAACCTTTTCTAATAAATTTCTTAAATTATCATCATCAAACGGTAGTGCACCCTGGTGTGGAAGAAAGAGGAAGCGTAACATAAATAATTACAGTAAGACATAAAAATATAATGAGGTGAATGATAAAGGACAAATAAAGTAATTGTACTAGAAATTGCTCGTGTACACATACACATACACCCATACAAGCAAACAATAAATGTGTTGATTTTTCTTTTACTTGAAGCAAAAACAAACAAAGAACAATGAATCGACTACACAGAAAGTCACGTACACAGTTTGGGCAAAATAAATAAAGATGATAGTTTTTCTTTGCTACAGCTGAAGAGTAATTTTCTTCGATCCATTTGAGTGTTAAACCATATATATATATATATATATATATATATATATATATATATATATATATATATATATATATATATATATATATATATATATCACTGAACTGTAGTATTTATGTGTGTGAACTGAAACCAACTTTATGCTGTATTATTTATTTCCGTTTCAATTTTATGCAATCAGTAAACGGAAAAATAGTAACAAATTGTTTTTTTAGAGAACGTAAGAAAATATTAGTGGTAGAATACCGATTTCAGCGGGATCTGAAGGAACCATTGATTTTCGGCGTAGACGAATGTAACGAATAGATATGAAGTATGAACTTTATAAATTTTATGGGAAATAGAGTGAATGCAACAAGCACAAGATGTTATCAAAATTATTAAACACTTCAAAAAAAGGAAATTTTTATACAAGAGATTCTACAAAAGTCTATAATGAAATATACTTATATATTTCCACGTTCATTAATGATAATCCATTACAAAGATAGTTGTTAGATATCCTGAAAAATTCCGGAAGTGTTAATTCATGTGTAAGTTTATAAATAAACCAGTAGTAATGTGTATATACAAAGTAAAAAGTGGATCTTCTTTTCTTGATCATTTCAAACTATGATCCAGGCTGCTGAAGTTCATCGATCAAGAAAATAGGTCGGATAGAACAAAAGCAATAGTCGTTATCAAGATATCTTTAAGACTTGGCCCCGCAAGCAACACTAACGACCTATTTTCAGGTGACATAACACATTTGTAATTACTTATTAGTTCTTGAGCACAGATTGCAAAATATATCTATAACAATATCTTCAATTAATTATACTTCTTATTTTCTTTGAATCCATATAGAAAACACAATTATAATAGATTTGTGAGAAACTGTAGAATAGAATTTGAACGTTAGATCATCATATGCTTGTCACTTCAAGTTTATGTAAAAATGGAAACCAGTCAAGTGAATTACTATAATTTAAAAATGTATGCTACTAAACTAGTACAAAATATAGCTCTGAAAAAGAACAAATAACTATAGATATTTAAGTGATTATAAATAATCTTAATACATTATCAGTGGCTCCATATTGATTTTGCAATATCTAAAAAAAGTATGATGAGAGTAAGTACAAAATCACAGACAAAGAACTCGTAATAGCGTATTATAGTTCAACAACTATAAGTATTTACAGGGGAGATTTCAGTGTTTAAACACTAGACTAAAACTTATCTATACAGAAGACTGGAAAGAAATTAGTGAAGATAAGTGGTGGACTAATAGGCAACTGACTTTAATAACAATGATTGTTCGACAAAGTAAACAGTGATTCCTAATTCAGTAGATTATTACCTGAGAATAACTGAGCCGATTTTATAATATCAAAAAACTCAAATTGTAAAATTAAACCAGAAGAAACATATATCAAATCTTTCTAATAAATTATGTAACCAAGCATTATATTAATCTGTGCACAGACCACCAAATAGGGAAAACAGAAACATGATCAGTGCAATCTAAATGGGTTAAATTGAAACTCGATGAGTATTTTTTAGATGGACATTTGAAAGGAAAAAACTGAGTGGAATTTGGAAAAAAAACAATACAAATAACTTTCCCAATGCCCAACCTCTACTGACATGTTTTCTATTCATTTTACATGTACAAATTAATTTATTCTAAAACCAATATAAATTGTGTCATTCTGACAAGTAAGTATTATTATTATTGAGATGAGAGAGAGAGAATATGATAGCAACCACCCAGAGTATATCGATAAAATCTAACATACGTAAATACTAATTACTGGTTATTAATCAAATCATTTACGAGGAAACATGTCAATAATCCCTGTTATTGTTCTGAACCATCAACTGTTATCGTAAAAACAAAACAACCAACTGATCAATGATAAATATACTTAATAAAGTAGATAATTAAATGACAGATTACTCATAAAAGTTATGCAAAACTAAAGTTAAACAGGTCTTAGAAAATCATCACGCTGACTTGATTTAGTATTGCTTTCTTCCTATTGTTTACCAAACAAATCTAAACTTCATCCAATCGCACAAGCAAGTGGCTATCAGGACTCAGTAGCTAAGTGGATAAAGCGATGACGTTTGAAGCAAACGGTATTGGGTCCGAGTTCCAGAGTGAGCAACAACTCTGAGATGCAGGTGCATCCAGCTGACGAGTGCCAAATAGGACAAAACGCGCGTCCAGGATTCCGCTTCTCGACAATATCCATCCTTGCTTATAATCACACTGACTACCTATATATATCATTGGATGCCGGCTCAGTGGTTCAGTAGGTTAAGCGTTCGCGCACGAGATTGAAGGCTCTGAGGTCGAATCCGGCGGGCGGGATCGTGGATAAGCACTGCTGAGGAGTCCCACAATAGGATGAAACGGCCGTCCAGTGCTTCCAGGTTCTCAGTGGTGGTCTAACATCAGTCGGTTCATGATCTCAATCGAAACTTAACAATCTCCACAACCACTGTACTGAAATAGTTAAACCGTTCAAAATCAAATACATTGAAGAGACTCGATCACATGTAGAAGTAATATATAGACATCTTATTAAATATTTTTATGAGTTATTTCTTTATTTCACTCATGCTTACTTTAGAAGCATTGTAAGTTAAATATATTTAGGACAAACATATACATTTTAAAGGTTCTATGCTGTTGTATTTCCCGTTGTATAAAATAGGTTTCTATTAATCATGGAACAACTTCTCTTTGTTCATATAAAAAGTATGGTTTATTATTATGAGAAAAAATTCTTTTTATTAAGGGAAAGTATAAATATTGGATTTGTAATGTCCAGTAGTAGAGGAAATACCATTTAAAACACTTAATCAAATGAACATACATCAGTTATGAATATTAAAAAGCTAAAAATATTTAAATTAAAAAAGGAAGTCTTTAAATCATGTAGTTGATGTGTTGACTACAAGTAAAATCTAATTTATAAGCCATAGTGGTTATTGTCAATGCACATCATTGTTGCATCGTTAGTGGATAAATGTTAAGGGAGACAAGTAAAAAAAATACTATCATTTTCAAAAGGTCTACTGTCACGAAGCAACTAAACACCTATAACAATGAAATGTATTCAATATCTTTGATAAGAATAATGGAAACACAGTTAACCTGTGTTTCATATACGATGGCAATTAATCGTTGTGGTCATTTTCATTTAATATGGACTTTTGTGGATGAAAATAGTTATTTAAAGACAAATTAAACATAGAATTGGCAAAATAATTAAAAATAATTGAAGGCTATGTAAATGGATATTGAGTAATAAAACGAAAGAAAATTATCACTAATCGTAAAATGTATTCAACAATAAACAATGATTACTTTTCTACACATTATTAGGGAAAAACAACCAGATACAACATTCACATACAAAATATGATTACAAAAATGGATTTATAAAAAGCATACAGCGAACATTAAATATATAACTGAAAAATAACGAGAGGCATGAAGCAAGTGGAAAATCTTAGAGAAATTCGAAGCTTAAAACAACCAACGCTTAAGAGGATAATACTAATATATATAACATGTGTTAACAACAGTGACTAATCCTCAATATTTCTGCTTTAATGCCTAGAAGTCTGTAACTATATTTTCTTACCATCCACATACACTCACGCATCGCAGTCTATTTATAGGATTACAGGTGAGTGTAATTCTGGAATTTGCCACAGTATATATATACTTAGGTTATTAATGTGTCTAGACTAATTACGAATAAGCGTGGGTATAATATACTAGAGGATTATGAAAATATTACAAACACAAATTTACTGATAATATGCCAGATTTAAGCTGGAAACTGAAACCTGACACTTGCAACATCGAATACACTAAGGATAATATACAGACATACAAATCATGAGAACTTACCACAAGAAGAGCATATAAAATCACCCCACAAGACCAAACATCTGCCATACGTCCATCGTATTTTTCACCCTGAAATAATTTTTTAAATGACACAAATACTATAACTAAAAATGTAATTATCATTATTGGTATTCAGGAAAGAATGAATAGTTGTGTTGATAAACACAAAAAATATAACACGATATACAACATAGAAGCAATGACAACAATTTAAAGTGTATCCTCACATGACGATATATGAAGAAAGTATTTTGTAAAGCATTCAATTAAAATAATAGAAATCTATATTCATTCTAAAAATTAGCCTACTGAATTACTATCCTAAGCACATTGAAAAATATCAACGACATCTATCGAGGACAAACTGATACAGATCATAATTGTCTGAAAGAAAAAATGGTGAGACTATGATTTATGGACGACTTTTGAGACTAACCTTGAGTGACCACTTAATAATCAGGACCAAATGAGGGTTATAAACCTATATAAGAAATCATAATTATAATCTACAGTTGATGATTAAGGTTAGGAATTAGATTCCGGGTTTTCATCACGGACTGGCATCAGCTATGATGCCAAAACTCTATTTCTCCAAATGGATGAGTGAATTTCGCGCCAAAATCCAAGACCTGTTATACGTTATACGTGATTAGTTCGTCCATAAATTATAGTCTCGCCGAAAAAAATTATTGTGGTTATCGAAGCAATCTCAAAATTGCAACAAGGCAAGAGAAAAAAAATATCATGCTCAGCGTAGTTTCAATTATGAGGGTTGTTTACTAATTTCACATTCTATTCAACAAATAAATGCAGTAATACACTTCATAGGTATATTTGTTTATCTTACAGGCGTGTAAAAACAATACTATAAATTCCAACTCAATATAAAATGGAGCCAAATTAAATTTATTACTCAACCGTTTATGACAATTTAAATTTAATTCAGATTAATAGCTAAAATGCTTTACAGTTTAATGACGCAATGAAGTTAAACTTTTATATTCATTAAAAACAGTTAGTAAGAAATTTGTCCCGTTATGTGTGAGATCTCATGCAAATGACGTGATGGTATTATGTAATTACATTTATTGAGTTAACTAATGCTAAATATTTAGTGATGCATGAAAAGAAATATGATTCTGTATTGTACTAAGGCATTATTACTTTTCCTTATTTTATCTTTTAATTTTTTAACCTTATTATTACCTCTGATGTTTTATGTTTTCCTGCTATATTTACCTAGCTAATTTAATTTTATATATTTTTTAGTGTCCTACTTAACTAGAATAACCGAGTTATATTGGTTGCTTAATTTATTTCTTAAAATAATCACATATATATTTAAATGAGAAATATTTATACGAAAATATCCAGAAATAATCAGAAAATCAGTATAATCAATAATCTTCCCTAATTAATAGATAAACTCCGTGAAGATAATTAACCGTTAAAGGAGCTAAAATATAGCTGAGTCGGACATCATTTATCGAGTTTATTGATCGTAATAACAAGTGACTACAGGAAAATAAAGTCAATAAATTACAATTGACTGATCATTTAAAAGTGACCAATATCATGTATGACAAGTGCTTCTTAGTGCCAATCATATCCTATCGATCGATTCCCGATGTGAAATCATAGACCTACAGGAATTCAGTCGCGATCAAAATAATTCAGGGGTAATGTTTCTGACCGTGAAGCTGGGTGACGAAGAACTGAATCAGATAACTCAAAATTACTGGTAAACCTTGCTATAGTGCTAAATAGTACGAAACCCAGGTTCAGAGTTTTATATCGACTACCTCTAACCTGCAGCTTACAAAGTCAACAATTGCCTAGATTTAAGTGTTATTGAACAACAAGCCGTAATAACTTTTAATAACTTCCACATAGAAAATAACAACTAATATAAATGAATGCTTATTTGGTTGGGATAATTAAAAGTTCTAAAGTGATTACGTTTCACCTTATACACTAGATGGCATAGATTACACTAGATTTTAAAGAGATACCGACGTCGTGTACTTGACATTTCACTAACTAATTCAGTTTTCGCAGAAAGCGATACTTCATCTTTCGGTGACATACAGGAAACTTGATTCATTCAAGACCAAACCCAGATATATTATATTATAAATATACTATTTGTGATATCCCGATGAGTAGAAAGTTGTATTTCTGACGTTTTGTGACTTAACGTAAGTCACTTCTAAGTAAATAATTAAATTTATTTGTAACTATCTAGTCAAACATTGGCATTGATACCAACAAGCTCATTAACATAGATTATATACTATTTTAATTATTGAAAAAACTAGTTGAAACAAGTTTCACTGTATAAAAAAATGAAACCACATGAACCAAATGTAAAAGATGAATTGGATAGTTTGAACATAAAGTTTATGTAGTTAATAACGTATCATTACAATGAAATATGATGACTTATTGTAAGCCATGTGGATGCAAAACTAAGCTGCTGGATCAACTTTATTCTTCTTTGGATGGCCACTATTATCAATTTGTTTGATTCTCGATGCAGCTTTTGTCTTCTTTGGTCGACACTTATCTCTATGAAGTTAACTGTCAACCCACATGATTTTATTAATCAAGATGTTTGTACATTTTCTTGAAGGATTAGATCCATTTTAAATCAAAGCATAATTATAATAATCATCGTGTGTAGGTAGAACACAAAATTTACTGATTTTACAATGAACAAATGTATTAAAGTTATTTGTTTTCAAACTCTTACTATTTGGAATTTCGTATATTACTCAGATTCGATAATTCTCGGTAAATTCAACTGTACAATTAATCCTAGTGAATTGATAGTGTAATAGTCACCTGTGAGTATGGTTAGATCCTTAAACATATGATGATGAGTGTAATCTGAAATATTGATTTCAACGTGAATTTCTATAAAAAGGAATTTGACATTTTGTTCACATGGAAAATGAGAATACGTAAAATATTCTACCCAGTTAGTAATAATATTACATAAGTCAGAAAGAAATTGCGCTAAGTCCAACGAAGAACAGGTGAATGATGAATTGAACCATAGAACATCAAACGTAAAGTATAATCCAAGTTCTAGTATAAGCACTTAAATATACATTTGCATGATATATATATATATATATGTACTTGTTTTCATAAGAGTCCATTATCTTTTTTTGTAAACATGATAAATAAATTTCTCTAAATATATTAGAGAGTAAATGGAATGGAAAAAAAAGGGAATAACCCATCTTAATCAGTTTTAACTGAATAACATGCACAAATTTTGCATGCATAGAATGAAACTATCTGAATCAGTATAGCACAACATACAATAACGACAAATAAGTGATCTAAGAATAAAATGTGATGTTTATAAATTGAAAATGGGGTAGATTATGCATTGTTCATTTCAATTTACACATGCAGGTATACTATCCAAAATATCCCTTACCCTTATAACTTCTGGACAAGCATAATGTGGGGAGCTACATGAATAAAAGTTAATCAATGGAATAATTTAATGATATATATATATATATATATATATATATATATATATATATATCAAACAACATTTAGTCCGTTATTAAGATCATTTAGTTTGGTATGGTAACGTACATAATTAAGCAGCTAAACTGAAAATAACATATAAAAAAGTTAATTAATGGTTTATTCAAAAGTTGCAAATTTTACAACCCCATTATAGATAAAAACTATTTCAAGCCAATCATTAGTCTTAAGTTGTATGACTGAGTTTTAAAAGTATATACATAAACGAAAAACTGTTAAAACATGTGAAATATGAATATGGCACTCTGAAGACTTTGATTAGATAGAGGGAGAAAATTAAATCTTATAATTAAAAATGATGAACGCGGTATTTTACATTGTTACACAGTCAATCAGTATAAAACCAATAACAGCATCTCCAAGAGCAATAACTAGAAAATAATATAACTATATGTGAACCTGTAAGTTTTTTTATTAGTATGTACAAGTTGTTATGATCATTGAGATCATCAACCGATAAATGATGACGTGGCTTGTATTTTACACTTGTTGGAAAAACGTTCTGATGAAGAAAGTCCAGGACAGATTTGAGTGGAGATTATTGATCGGTAGCTTATGCCTCAAGAAGGACAAGAGGCCTAACTTTCTTCACGTAGTCACTTTTCTCGTGTTATGCTGTTGCATAATGTGAACAACTTAAGCCCATGAACGTACATAATAGGTTCCAAACCGTTTATAACTGATTGGTAACTTGTCAGATTTTCATTTTGAATTCAATCTATAAACAGCAGTTCACCCTCCCGAGATTTAAGTCATAAATGGATATCAAACGGGTATACAAATATATTTGTCACTTATGAAATATCTAGTTCATCACCAGATATGGTAAACGATATATTCAAACAACTGTATATTCCGTATTGGTGACTGCACCTATAACTGTAAGACCTGGAGGGTTTTTTAACTTTGGTGAAACAATTTACTGGACAAGTGGATTATTTATTTATAAGTAGAGAATATTTCTTTATATTAAGAATAACCACGGTGTTAACACACCATCTTAAACATTTAGAAATAATTTTATCTTTAATTACATAATTAATAAGTAACGTTCATCAAAAACACTCACAATACCATTATAAATAGAATGGGATGTGTATACATCAGATAAATTACTTTTCATAATTACTTTATTGATTTGGTAAATGTTTAAGGAATAATGTCCAAAAGGATAGAAATTGAGCAAGTAAGAGAGCTGATGAATTATAAACAGTAATATATCATTAAATTATTTATCGTTAGCACCGATGAAGTGTAAATGAACAAACTTTTGACTGAAGATAAAAAACTAATCTGATATAATTCAACGATTTATAGGTATTAAAATTGAAGATATTTTTAAAGAAGATTTATTAATCTGATAATTTTTTGTATAGATAGGTCTGTTGGTTTAGCCAAAACTTACGTGAAAATTCTAGGTTCACTTGTCATAGAGTTCAAATTTGATTCATTGAGTCATCTCACTTGAAACTAATCTATTTATTGGAATGTGACTTCGACTAAAATCACTAGGTTTAACAACCTACTATAAATTAATCAGTACGAGTTTTGTTCTACTTTAATTGATCTATACAAAATGCCATCAAGTAATTTGGCGTAGGAAGTATGCGATATACTTTTATTGTCTTATAAATAATTAATAATGAGTTAATATCGATATTATATTGCTTATGATCATCTATTTATCAATATTAGGTATTGAGAACAAGTGATTTATTTTTTATCAAAAAAGGATAAAATGACACCTTTCAGAAATAAGATATATGTATCTTGTAATCTATGACATAAAAATAATTAGAAAAGTCTCACTAAAAATCCATAAAACGACGGAAATGCTATAAAAGAAAAGAATGAGTAAAAAAGAGTAAAGAAAATGAAATGTCAGTATATTTGGGAATAGACAGTTTAACATTATAAATAAATGAGTAGTGTAATGGTGAATTTAATTTTTCGATTTATAACCCAGTCAGTAGTGTTTTTTATAGTTTAGCCTAGATCATGTTAAGAAGTTATAACCTATTGGTTAGAATTTGTGAGATAAGAGCAATCTATGGCTGGAAAGTTTAGGTCAAACGGATCAGAATCGATAGTAAGTGCATTCGTTTGTCATCTGCCTGAAAATCATGAACTTAACACAAAACCATAGTTTGTATTGCTTAATTTCACTGACGCATTAATATAGGACTATATTTCTCATTTAGTTAGCTTATCACTACTAATCATATTATTACTTAATGTCCCATGGTTTTAATCCTATTCATTTCAGTATATCATACCGTAAAGATGGACAACTTGTGTTAGTGCACATTTTTATAAGATTATAAGTTGTTTATGACTCATTTTTCTTCAAAACTAAAAATTATAAATTGTTATTGTCTACACTCTCTGTATGGATAAACCATTAGACCTACAATTGATTACAGAATTCATTCCTTTGATGTGTGACACTACTAAGACATTTTACTCATTTTATTACAAAGCAATATTTAACTCATGTGTAATGATATATATACTTTCATGACTATCGAAGCTGACCTCTATTAATTATGTATTTATTGATCAATCCAATTAAATATATTCTTATATATTACTCTATTTTTTTTATTTATTCGTCTATTTTGTTTGAAGTCCTATTTGAGTAGGTAATTTAATTACTTTATCCCATTATAGACTTTCTGTTCTACAAATTGTTTGTTTTTTAATTTGTTGTTATAAACTAATTCGTTTCATTCGCTTAAGCTATGGGCACGAAAGTTACAGAGCGAGAGATGAAGAGAGATTACAGAGCATTAGAAGAAAAAAAGTTGAATAAATGTAGAAAGTAGTCACAAATATAACTAACTAAACCTATTATGCATGAAACAAAATCATATTTTGTCTGGTAATTTATTTTTAACCAGTTTTTGATTACGGTATGAGAATTATATATATATATATATATACATATTTCAATTATGTAAAACGACATTGAATAGAGAAGCCAATATAACATTATTGATTCGTATTTTTGAACCAGAGACATGATTTATAATGATGATACTATCACAAAATCTTAAATGACACAAAAACTGGACTTGATAGTGTGAAAGATAACTGGACTAATAGCACAAACAGTTAAACTCATGTTATCATGAAACGGTGTAGGTGTATTTGTTCATCAACAAGTTTCTACAAGCCTACTACAAATTTAAATTAACTGGAGAAATATCTAGAATACTAACCGAAAGACTTCATAGAATTCTCACTTGGGATGGATACGAAATTAAATTGTAATATGTAATACGTGAAATCAAAATGCCGATTTCGGTATATGTAATTAAGTTCATCGCTTTTAGAATTTTTCAGTATACTTGGCTTTAATCAAGTAATAAGCATAGATTTATTCGAAATACTCGATAAAAATGATTATGTATACTTTATAAAATAGTGGAAATATTTTAGTTGAAGAACCTCTAAGGTTGTTTGCTGAACTTGAAACCAGATAAATACAAATGAGTAATATATGTGTATATATGTTACTTTTAGACTATTCTGAACACATTTTTGAAAAATACAGTAATTTATAACAATATAAACGATTGTACACAATCGTATGATACATGAGTAAATCTGTCCGTAACGCCTATTTTATCAAAAGTATCATTTCAAACAGTCAAAAGTTTAATCATTAGTTATAAGATTAATAATATTCATTTTTAAGATTATTTCATAAATTATTGACCAAATATTTGTGTAGACAGGACTCCTGATCCACCATTATCAGTGAAAAAAGCACGAATACTAAAAAAATCCAAGCCAACACTATTAAACAACAATATTTCTGTGTCTGTCGTCCAATAAAGATAACTTTAATAGTTAAGAATATCTAGCAAAGTAAGAAGCAATTCGAATGTAAAATATATTCAATTGATATGAGGACTAACATCATAGAACTCTTGAATATGGTGGGTAAAAATACAGTTTAATCAATCACAGCTTTATAGAAAACGATGAAATCCTAACAATAACTTATAAGTCTAATAGATCGTTGTTGACGTTGAAAAAATAGATATCTTATGTATGGAAAAGATGGAATAACTTTTCTCTAACTACTTTCACAAGAATGGATCGATAGTAACAATTGTAACTAGCATAAAACAATATGCTGCAAAAAATATAAACGAAATTGATGCAGTTGGTTCTATCACAAACGGATCAAATGCTTGTCAATAATAACATCTAATTATCATATCTTATATAGAAAAAAAAGACTAGGATCACTAGAAGTACAGTGAATATGTAAAATATCAATAACCATACATATATACAAAATAATCAAACAGTACCAAGTAGATTATATTCATAATAGTAATGATGATGTTGAGGAGAAGAATGATCAATGATGTGAAATAGAAATTCGGACAATCATGACATTATTTATACAATTTTTTTGTAATTAAAATACTACCATCAACTACAAATATCAGAAATCTTTTGTTAACAGTTCTAGTAATAAAAAGAATTTTAACACGTTAATTTAAATTTTTTAATGGATTTTAGACCACTATTGAAAACCTGAAAGCATTGGACGGCCGTTTCATCCTATTGTGAGACTTCTCAGCAGTGCGCATCCACGACCCCGCTCGCGAGGCTCGAACCACGCGAACGCTAGTGGTATAACATCAATCGGCTCATGATCACAATCAGAAACTTAATAATCTTCACAATCCTATACTGTTAAACTTTTTAATCAAATCTGACAAAAACTTGCAAGAGAAAGAACAGTAAAATTAATTCTTTTTTATTGGAAAATAATAACTCATATAATCTGTTTGATGAAAACATAAATCAAATACTTTTGTTCCAGAAAGTATTTTTCACTATAAACTGATTTAATCTAAACTATTATAAATAATCATATCTTTAATTAGTTTAATAATAACCTTGTGTTCCTTGATCTCGAGCAACGAGATAGAAATTCTTCCAGTTCTAAGTAGAAAATCAGTTATGTTGAGAATGAGACAATTATTCAATGAATATATTAAAAGATTGGTCTATAACATGAAGTGATTGAGTTCGAAGATCTAGATTACTGGATTAGTATTTATTTATTTAGAAGTGTCATCTTCGTCACAAATCCTCAAGTTACTAAATTCCATTCTATGTGGAGATTATGAATAAAAACAATTCTGAAATCTCAAACCAGACATAAACAATTGTCTTTGAATAATTTTAAAAGTTAGTAAATGTCACCTTCACAAAACCATCTAACTTAAATAATAAAAAAAATAATGACAATAATACAACATAAGTTTTTTTAAAATAAAGAATACAGAAAAAAGTAAAGCATACACTTACCCACAACTAGTTTCTAACAATGAACCCTCAGGTTGTAATGATGCCATACCAAAATCAGCAACACGTATATTTAATTGATCATCAAGTAAAAGATTTTCGGGTTTTAAATCTCTATGACTTTAATTAAATTATAAGTAAAAATAAGTAGTAAATATTATTTCATAAAATACAAAAAATGATATATAAATCTTAAGCAGAGGTGGTTGGTGAAATTCAGGAAACGGGTTTTGCGTTATTTAAGACTTCATTACTAGCTGTTATATCCCGATGAGTATAATGAATGGTAACTGTTGGAATCTATCTCTGGACCATTACTATACACATATTTCTATCGTAAGATTTTTAAGTGACTAAACTATTTATATTCGTGTTTCTCTTATTATAAGCTTTATTTTGACCTATGAACTATTGTTATACGATATACCATTCCTGAGTTATGCCCTGTCTATCAATCACTATCTCCCACATTCACAGCCACATTTAGCTGAATCTTGTACAAATGTTATTTTCTATTTTATGGTAGGATGTGTTCTGTTTGGTTGGTATATAAACCCAGTATGTTTGAAATAAACGATTCATAACACAGAGGTTGAGACTTGTGTTCTGGACTTAACAGGTGGGGCTAGACGGGAAGCAGGACCGATAAGACTCTCGACTGCTCGTACGGGTTTTATGCGTCATTGGTCCGGTCGATAAATCACTGTTCTCTAATTGGCAGTATCATTACGTTATACATTAATAGGACACTACCCGCAATTTACAACACTAGCCACCATTCATATCCGCTTAAAACATCTGTGAATTAATGGCAATATAGAGGTATTTTGCACAGGATGTACATACGCCAAAAAGAGACTACATCAATTGCAGTTCTAATCATCAATCAGGAGATTCAAACAACCAATATAAATGATATATAAAGTTGCATAAAACTTCAACAGATAAATGAACATAATGGATAAACAAATTGGAACCAAATAGTTTATTAGCTTTTAAATTATCATCTATTGAATATCGATTCATCGATCTAATGGAAAAAAGCAAATTTAATCTTCTAAACAAAACGTCCCAATATTCTGAGTTTCATAATGAAAATTACAGTTGATACATACTAACAAAGAGTTTAGAGGACAACAGTAAGATATTGACAATTAGTAACAGGTAACCTTTATTGTTTTACCACAAAACAGTGAAAATTATTTTCTGTCAATTAGATTGCCAGAGATTATTGTAAGTGAGAAGATTCCACACTATAGTTATGAATTTTAAAGAAGAAAATGAGCTGGTAATCAATCTCACGAAATAAGAAACAAATACTTCTACTTATACATTACTTTTAAAGGAATTCAAAGAAATTAGTCCGCTGAAACAAAGAATATGTGTAAACATTCATCAAAATTGAACGGATAATTTGACAGAATTTGAGCGCCAAGCAAACGGAAGGCACCATATGTAAAAGTTATATTTAAATAATTTCAGCCATCAAATTCAAATAACCTCGACATTTCAGCCGCCAGAATCGTCTGAGCTTCTTCAAGGAAATAATCAAAATCAGGAGTACCAGTTCTGCTTGTTTCCTTCAAGAAGCTTAGATCAATATGACTGGTGAAAAGTTGGAATTATTTAGATTTTAATCGCTGAGATTATTCGTACATAACATATACATAACATAAAACAAATAAGATTGAGAGGATTTCGTTTCTTTTGATCGTCATCAAATATTCAGAGCCGTCATATTATTTCACTACTCAATCCCAAAACGTCATGATGAACTAACACTTTCCAATAGATCAATGAATTTCGAATTCAGTTCTGAAAATTCCTATTTTCAATTTAAAAATAAGTTATATCATGCAGCAGATAAAGAGAAGTGGCGACGAGACTATCTTTTAGGCGTCAATAATCAAAAACTGTCACTCTAAAATTCGATAAAATAAAGAATTAGTAAAATTATGTTTAATCGGTTGACTTTTTGAAAAGAATATGTCTTAAACTTCTGTTCTCATTCACACCACGTATTCCAACAAATGAATGAATCACAGCAATTGTAATTTTACTGTATTTTTTACAGATAGTGTGTTTGTCCATTGCCCCAAAACTGTAGGAAGCTCAGAGAAAACTATCGTGATCCTTCAGTGGTCTGATCAAAAGATATAGTCATTTAGTAAGAGACACTCTTCTACTGTTCATAAAACATTTATTCGTAGTTATTCACCAGCATATATTAAGACATCGTCGTAGTATAATTACTTTCGTATATATATAAATAGGATGGCCATCGGACAAATCAAGAGTGGGAGAGAAATAGGATCTGAGAATATATAAGTTGAAGCACTGAAGTCAGAAATAGAAGCAGATACAAACATGCTCCGTGTTTTATTCAGAAAGATTCAGGAGGAGGGACAAGTTCTGATAAACTGGAAAGAAGGATGTCTCGCCACGATACAAAACAAAGATGTAAGCAAGTGTGAAAACTACAGAAGAATCACACTACTATCGGTATCAGGAAAAGTTCTCAACATAGTGTTGCTCAACCAGCTGAAAGATCCAGTGGACGCCCAACTTCGAGATAATAAGGCTAGATTCCGAGAGGATCGGTCGTGCACTTACTAAATCGCAACACTACCAATCATCGTTGAACAACCAGCTGGATGGAACTCGTCACCATACATCAACTTCCTTGAAAATGAGAAGGAGTTTGAAAGCGTTGACAGGAGAATATTATGGAACCTTATTCGATAATACGTTGTACCTGGGAAGATCGTCAGCATCATACAGAATTCATACGACGGACCACATTGCAAAGTCGTACATGGAGGGCAGCTGACTGATGCATTCCAAGTGAAGACCAGTGTCAGACAAGGCTGCTTACTTTTACCCTTTCTCGTTCTTCGGGTGGTTGATTGTAGTATGAAGACCTCCACATTTGAGGGGAAGCATGAAATACAGTGGGAAGCCTGGATGTGACTAGATGATTTGCACTTCGTAGATAACCAATTCCTCCTATCCCATACACACGAGTAAATGCAGATCAAGACAACTACTATAGCAGAACCCTATTTATAAGTCGGCCTTAACATACACAAGGGTAAAACCAAGATCCTCAAATACAACACGAAGAACACCAACCCAATCGAAATTGATGGAGAAACTCTGGAACAAGTGGAAATTTTCACGTGCCTGGACAGCCCCACCGATGAACAAGGAGGATCTGATGTAGATGTAGAGGCACGGATTGATAAAGAACAGCAGTACTACAGTCGAAGAACATATAGAACTCAAAACAACTGTCAACCAACATCAAAGTCAGAATTTTCAGTACGAAGGTTAAGACAGTCCTTTTGTATGGAGCTGGAAGTTGGAGAACTAATACAACCAAGTATTTATTAACAGTTGTCTACACAATATACTCAATTTCCGTTGGCCAGATACCAACAGTCTACTGTAGGAGAGAACAAGCCAACTTCCAACTGTAGAAGGACTTAAGGAAAGACGTTAGAAGTGGGTATGAGATACGTTGGGGAAATCATCAAACCGCATCACTAGGCAAGTACTAACTTGCAATCCTGAAGGGGAACGGTAAAGACAAAGACAAAAGAACACATAGCGTCGAGAACTGGAAGCAGGTGTCAAAAGAATTAATAAGGACTAGAAATAACTGGAAAGGATTGTCCAGAACAGAGTTGGATGGATAATGCTAATAGGCGGCCTACGCTCCTCCGCGATGGGTAACAGACATAAGTATATATATATATATATATATATATATATCCCAAGTTTAGCCTATTGTTAGAGATTTAAAGAATAAGAAGAAAAAAGTCAAGTTTTTAACAATAAAATTTTTTGGAGGCTTGTCAACTAATAGAAATAAATAAAGGTATCGATAGAGACTATCACTCACCATATGCAATGACTATGACAAAAATCTAATGCAGATATAATCTGTTTAAAAAATCTTCTTGCTTCTTTTGGCGCTAAACGACCCTTCCGAACCAAATAGTCAAATAATTCACCACCGGACACATGTTCTAAAATAAGATATCTGTAAAAGGAAAGACAAAAGGCAATTATTCATATATATATGCAGAAATACATACAAATGTCGTCTATTTTCGTAGACATCATATAATCCAAGTACATGAGGATGTTCGATAAGTTTCATGATAGCAATTTCCCTTTCAACCTATTCATGTTAAAAAACAAAGAATGAACTAAAAAAGCAAGTTACCTTTTGAAGAACGCTATCACTTAACTTCTCTCGGTTGACTATTTTAACAGCTACCTTTTTACCTGTCACACAGTGTACTCCCATTTTAACAAGTCCTGAAAAATGAAGTAGGAAACAAAAGACAAGAAAGTTGAATATCCATATTAAGTATACATGGTTTAAACCGATGCAACTAACAGTCTCATTAATAGAACTCGTTTGGCTTCCTATAAGCTCACCTGAGTAGATAAAAAGAAATGATTATACTCTAGGAAATCTTCTGTTTACCAAGCCATTAGTAGTTAAATAAATAAATATAAAATTATTATGTCGTGCAGTATATATATAAATAATTTACAGAAAGTTAAACACATTAATAGATAACTTTCCAGTTTCAGAGAGATGTAACACCGTATCATTATATTTTTTCAAGACCTAATAGATATACTGAACCTCGTATTTAAACACTGAACAATTTTTTTTAAAAGCATTACATAACTAGTTATTTCATTTTTAGAAATTAAAATTTTGCTAAATCTCCAATCATGAAAAAATAAAATCTATTAAACCGAAACATTTTAATAGGTGGTTATGACTAACGAACATATTAATAGAAAAAAGGTGAACACTATAAGATAAAAATGTTTTAGCATTCGAAATACAATATATGAAAAGTTAAAGGTATTAAGATAAGTAAATTTCAACTTTATACAAATTTTGCTATCTACAGATAAATGAATTGTCGGTCTAATTGTTAGAGTTCTGGGCTTTCAACTAACCGGTCGCGGTCTGAGAACTGTCACTCATTAATTCGAGTTTGGTAGCTGAATGGTATCAATAATTCATACATAATGATACGAAAAACCAAGAGTATAAACCAATACTCTATGAATTACAATAATTTAAACAACAATATCAAATTACAGTGTTTCTATAATCATTAGTATAATCTCAAAAGATAAGTTAACCGGTTTGTTTTACTTAATACATTTTAATGTACACTTTTAAGAAACAAAAAAGTTTTCATTTACTTATAGTTTATGGTGGCGATAACCATAATTTGTCAGCCTATCATTACAGTTATAACAAATAAAAATAGACACAAAGGCGTAAATTTAGGGAATATTTCCCTAAGCAGTGATTGGAAGTCGGTTGAGTGGTGGTTTCTTGGGGAAAGCAGTTTACTTTTAATTACACAGTTTAAGATTCGAGCTCCAACACGCCTACTACAATTTCGGCAGCCGAGTGGTAGATATCTTCGGTTTTCACATTGCAAAAGTTTCACAAGGTCAAGTGTAAAAACATACCCGATGAGTTCCACTAATTTCGAACAATACAGGATTGAAGTGGTTTTTCGCTTGCTGAGAAATGTCGATCTGCTTCCTAAATATTTCTTAGATATTTTATGCATAGTTATACTGATCAAATAACAACAGTATTTGATTAAAATGGGACATTTGATCCAAGCTGTTAGTAGATACTTGGTTGGTATCTGATTTCATAGGATTTTCAAGTAGAGTTTAAACATGAAGTGAGTCAACAGATATCTAATGAAACTAACTGGTTCGGAAATTTAGGAACAAACTATCAGCTAGTGTGGCAGCAATTATTTCGTCTCCGTGGTTCAAATGTGGACTAGTATATATAATGTTTTATCTATCAATTCGCATAATTCATGTACAAACCTGTAGGTTACTCTAAAACTTCTAGTATAGTTGGTAAAGTTACTTGAAAACTAAAGCATAACAGAATTATTACACTTATTAGTTTATATCTTAAATAAGTAGGGTTATGCTCTAGTACAGATGAGACCCACTTAACTAGGATAATTTACTATTTGGAAAAGTAGGGGAAACTATCACCGGTTAGTTCAGTTTATTAGGAATAATTTTCCTATACTATTGATTCTTTATAAAATAAACAATGAAAAGTCTGATTTCCGTGATTAAATAAAGGAAATAAGGGAGATTTCACACTGAGTTACTTGATATTGTTTTATTTAAGCAATCAGGTATTCACTTATCCATGAACTAACCAATTCACTTAGTAAAAATTCCATGCCAAATCCTACATTGATGATGACTGACTGCTTAACAGTGACTAGTTTCCTTCTCACCAAGGTGAAAGAATCAATCAAGTCACAAATGGGACAGTAACCAACCTATGTAATCGACTTGGTATCAGCCAGTACCAGGAAGTTACCGAATCCAATCTCTTGGCGATTGGTTTGGGACTCAATGATATAAAGGTATTTTGCTCCCTAAGAAAATTGAAGCCCTTGGATTCCACTCTATGTGAGGCCAGTGATAACAAACAGCTAATGAGAAGTTTCAAACAATTGTCTAGTGATTCATGGTTTGTAATTATATCAGTTCATGTCGAAAATTCTTACTGAAATATACACAAATTTGCGTGATACCACTCTACATAAGGACAAGCCAGTCTCTAAATTTCCTTAAAAGAATTTAAATTGAATAAGAATGGAAATTCCTTCTCAATAGTTACTTTTTTCTTATTTCCTAAGAAAATATTAAAGGCTTTCACCAAAATGTAAAATACAATTCATTCAATGTAACAATTGATTACTGACTAGATAGCTTATACAATTTAATCACTCATGAAATTTCAAAATGATTTGGAAATAATTTTTTTTATCTCCAGGTAAGAAACCTAACTTACACTCCTCACTACTAAACTTTAAAAATAATATACAACCATTAGAGTGGTGAACTTATTGGGTGGAGAAGTGACCCACTCACTTCGTAGGCAAATACATAGGTTTTGGAATACTAACGCCCTATTTAAAAGAATTAGTCTAGTAAAATTGTAAAATGATGTGAAAAAAAAGAAAGAAATGAAATATAATCAAATAGACTTGATGACTTATAAAATGACGAATTTATTTTATTAATCAACATAAATAACTAATTAAGTTAAAATTATTAAGACGTCGATGATTATGGTGTATTTTACTACTTAATTTGAAATGGATTATCAACCTGGTAAAGTATATGAGTAGAAGAAATATTAAAAATTAATTTTCAACTTACAAAACGATAATCAACATATATTCTGACTAAAACACGATTCAAGGTTTCTTTCGAAGACTAAGAAATCAAACTAATGTACAGTATGACGTCGAATAATTGGGAGATTGAAGTGTAAGCTTTATCAATATTCACTAATCATATTAAAAGTATAGTATTTAATGTAATTGGCTTTAGGCTATATTGTTTGACGGCTATTGACGATACTAGATTTTGCAAACTGAATTAAGAGGAGGGTTTGAACCACCGACCTAAAGGTTGAAATTTGAATGCTTGGATTACTACTCTTTATGCTCTAAAGGTCCAATGCAGGAAAAAAACTGAACAGTTTCTACATCTAGTTTAATTGGACTCGTAAAAGAAGCAAAGGCAATCAACCTATCGTCTCAGTAAACACTTGTAAAATTGTTCATCAGTGAATGATATAACATGATTTTCTCCATATGACTAAATGTAATATAAATGTCAAACAAAAACATTTATTCCATTAACGAGAACATAGACCTGATACACCTTCACCAATGGCATATACTCCATAACTACATAATAAACAAAAATGCACCAGCAGCAGTCTAATATAGACAGTGAACATGCTTGAATAGACAATATTCAAACAAAGCGTAATTAGTGGATTGCATTTTGACTAAGACTCGGAAAGATAACATATATCCCTATATGATTGAATTTAAGTGTGGTAGTCATATTTTCAACTTTCAGAACAAGCATTTTGCATGCAATGATATCGACCAATAAAGACAACTAATTAATTTTCCTAGAATTGAAGAAAGAGTAAGATTTAACTGACACATTTAGCTATTTATATCAAAAAAAACGTCGCTGACTGATATACATTTAAGTAGATAGTAGATGAATCACTAGTTTCAAACAAGGTAGTAATCGATTAGCCATTTGGAACATTTTATAGAATTGTACGCTCTTTCACTGTGGATTTTCAACATTCCCATAACCATTGGCTATGGTCACAAGTTTTCTCGGCTCAAAACCTATCCTACTGGTGCTAATAGGCCTGAGCTTTATTACTTGATAGACACAAGATAATCTATTACAATAAGCAAATTTATTCTCTATACCTTTTTGTTGAATTTAACACTTTTCTGTCATTGTTGTCGACAAATACTGAAAACATAAACCAATACATTTGGCACATTGCTTTTCTTAATATCTGACTCTAATTTCGTCCTAAGAATGTTTCCCTACGCTGAAAAACTACTAGGCGAAGGCTACCAGTAAACCACCATAAAAAAGAGAAACAATATCTCGTCCTAATGGTTGTAATTTTGAACTACCAAAGAAATTTTATTGCCTCAAGAGTTTATAAATGGAAATTCGATCATCTTAAATTCCTTTATCTGTCAAAAACGAGGTTTCCGACCCTAAAGTGAGTGACTTAAAGAGACTGAAATTAAAAAAGTGAATGGAGAAATGTATCAACATAAAATACCGGATTGAACATAATTAGTCAAAACATAATCATATTTGGAGTCTGGTAAAACATAGATAATAGGAAATCATGATTCATTCTATTTAAAGTAGCATTTAGCGCTAAGAAATATTTATAAGAACCATGTGATATCATTGTTTTCAGAAAGTTTAAACTCAGGCTATAACCCGTGGTAGACATTAATGGCTGAATGATTAATGCTGATTGATTCCTTTATGAGAGGTATACAAGGGGATGATATGACAAAAAAAACTGTACAATAAATAAATAACAGGCATTTTGCTAAAGCACCAAATGAAGGAAACTATTAACATTTTAAGGGATTCAACTGCGCATCCACAAAAGCAGAGATTACCAACATTACTACTCTTGCTTTCACAAAAATGAAGTCCGTTGAAGTTTTATTAGATTTTTATGGTGCTCATTCTTAGTAAGTCGTCATGTAATCGTTAGAAACCATTTTGTATGTGGAGTAGGATCACTATTTCATCTGATAACTCCATAAAAGACATACAGGCAGAGATATACAGAAGAAAATTGGAAACTTTCACAATGCTAATGGATAACTTTACGATTGTCACGCTCTACATCGACGCATCAAGAAGGGATTAATAGAAGCAAAAAATAGAAATAATACTACTCACAGTAGTCGGAAAGTAGAATTTAAAGATAGGGCAAAAAAATTAAGGTTGATAAATTAATTTTGTACAGAATAATACGACATAAATCACCAAAAAACAGTGAGTGGAGTTCTGCCATATTTGACCGACTTTCACATGTTTTATCAGCTCTTCAACTATAAAACACGAAGATCAGCCCAGAATAAATTTGTTGCTTACTTCTGGTTAATTAAATAATACTGAACAGTATTTCAATTAATTCATTCTCAACATGATCCCGATAGTAAAGATAAAGAAGTAACATTAAGTAGTTTATTGCAACTCATCAGCAATGACCAACACAAAAATTTTATTGGTTGGTTAGTAGATATCAGCACTTATTACTAATTGGTTTAGATCTGGTTGCATTGCTCGTAAAATGGGACCTTACCTGGTAGAACTTTATTTATTTTACATACAGTAGTAAAGGAACACAAAAGCTTGTTTACAACGTTCGAGTGAGTCGAGTTAGAAAACTAAGGAATAGGATGGCTTTGAAAACCCCACGAAATAATTATGAGCTAAACAATAATGACAGCAAAGACAAAAGCTCAATGAGTTACTCTGTTCACTTGGATAAGGTTTCACCATATGTATGACAAAAGCTTTGGAGATAAGAAATGAACGATAGAATATCATCAGCATAGGGGTGAGGAGATTGATGAGTTTAAATTGATATCATGAATGAGTGAATGTTAGACCACCATTGAAAACCTGGAAGCATTGAACGGCGCACCCACGATTCCCCATCAAAAGGATTCGAACCCAGGACCTTCGATCTCGCGCGCCAACGCTTAACCTTCAGACCACTGAGCCGGCACCAACGGTATTAATGTCCCATACTAGGACGAAACGGCCGTTCAATGCTTCCAGGTTTTTAATGGCGGTTTAACATTCATCCACTCATGATACCAATTAATATAAAATATTAAGCAAAACTTGTATTCTAAACCCACGACAAACCCCAAATGGTGAGTTACACGCTGATAAGATTATCGGTTATTTAGCGGTTACTGATGGATCGTTCAGCATCTTTAAACCATGAAGGGTACAATCCTCAAATCCACATGGAAAATACGCAAGGCGCAAACGATACACGACTCAAATAAAATATGGATTAACTGATAAACATGTCTTAACACGTGTGGAGTGCTAAACGATTTTGAATTATTTGAATATGTTAATCCGTGGGAAACAGTCAACAAGAATATCTTGAGATCTCTTGACACTCGAACATCAGTCTTTGTGATGATCTAGATGTCACTTTCCATTATCATCATGTAGCTAATGAAATTTATTCAGTCTTAAGGTCTCTTTCCAGAACATTCAATAGCTGAAGTATGAAACCATTAAATACTATTTTCAGTGTTTATTTAAGACCTTATCTATGGAAAAACTTCTGCATTGTCTCTTTACCTTAAGAAAGACATTACTCTCTTAAAGCGTGTTAAAAAACGGTAATCAAAGAGGTGTTTATATAAAAAATAAATCGTTCTCCATTAGCCTCGAATCTCTTAATTTAAAACTAGTGCTGTGTAATAGGATTAGGAAGATTATAATCACAATGTAATATATCGCCCATAGTTTGCTCAAGCCTAACAGATCGCTGATACATTTCAGTAACAGACTACATATAAGAGGAAATCCACTCAGGGTTAAATATGAAAGAGCTCATACAAAATTTGTGTAAGTCTGTCCGCCGTTTCGAAGAGTAACTTATGGAGCTCTCTACTGGGATCTATAGCTAAGGCTATTTCTGCTGAATTCTTAAAAAGAAAGCTCCATGATTGCTTCAGTTCTGTAGATACTGAAAGATTAATCTAAATATTACTCCTCCATCACCTCTATTAATCATTAATTTATTTTTTCCTCTTAGTCTTCAGAACAATACTTCTCTGTAACCAAAATCCCTTTTCTACTAATGAGACACCAATCCAAAGCAACAAATAATTCTTCAGTTCTCCCAAGCAAAATTTGAACGAACATAGAGTGCTACAGAACAGATTTCAGGACGTTCCAGGAAGTCAATCACTAAATGGATTTGGAAGGGAGTGGATGTAACCTTTTCTCCACACAACCTGGACCAAAAGTCAAACTTCACATGCTTTTGTCTTTAATGGTCATACGTCATGCATATACATTGAAAAAGGTATACCGCAGAACAACCGACTTGACTATTAGCAAACATTCATTTAATTCGTTAAAATATCTGAGCATAATCTATGCTCCAAGTAGCTTAGCCTCCAATAACAAAAAGTGAAGAAAGTTTTACATAAGGTAAAATAGTTCAACTCGGAGTTAATGTCACGCTTGGTTAAGTGTAAATGGAAATCGACATGACAATCTTGAAACGAATAATTATTTTTTTCTGCCTAGGTGCCTTACAAATTCTTAAGTCAGGGTTCAAAGTGCAAGAACTTTGAGTACACGCAACTATTTATTTTGGAAACGTTTAGGCATTTCAAACGTTAAAAACCCGCTCATTAGATATTTCACCATGACTATTTTAACGTTATTTACCTCTTAATAATTATATTTCAATCGGTCCACAGTAAATCACAGAGAAAACAGTAACGTTTTTCTTAAAACAACGTTACTGTAAACCAAATAAAAGAAATTGGAAATTTACTAATTTATCATCATTATTCTTTGCAAATGTAAGCTGTATTTCTTAATTTGAATTTGTGAAACAATATCCCCAAAACTTATAGTGCTTGATCCACTAACGTTTATTGCTGAAATCTTTAAACTACACTGGTGATACGATTATGCTTTTGATTTTTTGAAACCAGCCACATAATGTAATTAAGACAATGAAATTGCTCGCTCCCCAAAGACATAAGGATGACAGCTTCATTTAATCACAGAATGACAAGCAGATATACAACATCAAACGTTAAAAGTACTTTAAACTATTAGGCGCATATAGTGAGCTACACTAACACGTCCTTACAAATAGAAGAGATGGAGTGGACTTATTAGCCGGATCTACTTGAATTTCAGAGATGATGTTCATTCTGCAATTCGATTGATCAAAATCCATTCAAAGTATCAGCAACAAGATAATCCAAACTATTACAAATAAAATTTATGCTTCTATTCATTGCAAGCCACATAACTTAAACAAGACTATGATACTAGATCAACTAACCTGTCTGGCCTTTTCCCAACGTCTTCTCAAGCCTGTACGGTCCTACATACTGCTCTTCGCGTACGTAATTACGATGGGACATATTCGGACATCAAAACTCTTACGATAATTGTCTTTGATACTGTTAAAATATAGAAATGGATAAAATTAAAAAGATGGAAGAAAGGAACGAAGAATTTTCGGTGACTAAATAGAGTACTCTTTATATTTAAATATTGTCTTAAGACGTAATGCAAATGGAGTGAATTTTATCTTTCTGTCAAAAATTCCACATGAACTAGGTCTACGAAGATTTAAAACGGTATGCGCTGCATACATAAAATCTAGTATTCAAAAGAATCTAACGACTTCCGGCATGTGAAATACAGCTACCTCTTGAGAGACGCTAAAATACAAGCTATCAAACTATGAAGTGGACGGATTTTATCGATATACCTATCAGTCTAAAATGTATCAATGTCTAATTTCTGTGGGACCTTAATGGTGTCATATAACTCTACCATTTCCTATTGGAGTTTTGTTTGATATAATATTTGTGAGATCATATGCAAAGTTCAAAGGCTCACAGAAAAACTAGCATTAGATCTTTGATAATATGAATGGGCAGTCTTTGAGCATATTTTCTGAAAATCTGTGCATTCTTATTAATCAGCTGCCACAAAATTAATGCTGAAAACATAATAAGACTAACTTTCATTTGCCCGAAAATACATGCCTTACTGTCAGTCAGTCAGCTACAACGTAGAACCAGGCACATATATGCATCAGTTCAAGATGCCATACCTCATTAGCAAAGCAAGATGAACACCGGATACATAGGAGTGGTTCAGTCAATGGTGGTAATATATAAAAGAAAGATTGTGTATAAGGATATAGTACAGGAAGAAAGAATTAGTTCGTAGAAAGAAAGATATAAAGTGATTTTAATCTCATAGTTTTAATAGAAGACAGAAAGTGTATACACCTACGCCATTGTGATCGATTTTTAGCCATGTCACACAGAGTCTCCAACCATTGGTTACGATAGTCACGCGGACCCCAACCAAGAAGTCTGCATCTACCAACATGGCTCAGACTAGAAGTTAGTGACTTCAAGCACTGATGCCACGTTTTGGTTTTGCCGTTCCTAACTTTCTTCCAACCATCTCCAACACTAGTTAGTATTGCGCGTCGTGGTAATCGGTGTTCAGGAATGTGTAGCACATGGTCCAACCATCTCAGTCGATGAAGATTCACAACCTCATCGACTTATTTGCCATCATTCCATAATACCCTGCGTCTAACCTCACTATTACTTACCCGGTGATCCTGGCAGATGCTGACAATATTTCTAAGACATCTGTTATCGAATACTAGCAACTTACAAGTATCTTCTACTCTTAATGGCCACGTTTCGCAGACATAAAATAGAACAGAACGAACTACTGTGCAGCATACTCGTCCTTTAATTGATAGACGTATATCTCGCCTTCACCATAGGTGACGTAAGTTGGTAAAAGTCAAACGAGCTTTTTGAATCCGTGCTGAAATTTTGTTAGATACTAACCCATTGTGGCTGGTCAGACTTCCAAGATAAGTGAAGTTGTCAACGCGTTCGAATACTTCACTCCCTATCCTTAGTTCAGGTGTTGACGCAAACCAGTCCTGAAGTAACAACTTACATTTAGTGGGAGAGAAGCGCATTCCGAACATTCTGGCATTGTTGCTTAGTGCTACCAAAGGACTCTGCATTTTATCAGCGTCTTCACTAAACATGACTATATCATCTGCGTATTCTAAGTCGATAAGTGAACTTCCTGGTAGGAGATTAATGTACGAAAATTCAGTCGACGAGAGCGTTATTTCCATCAATAGGTCTATGATGAAGTTAAACAGAAATGGAGAAAGTGGACAGCCTTGATGGACGCCATTTGAGGTTGCAAAATCAGATGACAGTTCGCCATAAGCTCTGACTCGACTGGTAGTGTTCGAGTAAAGAGCCTTCGCAAGGTTTATGTACTTCTGAGGTACACCTTTCAATGACAGACACTGCCACAGAATCTCGCAGTCTATGGAGTCAAATGCTGCTTTTAAGTCAAGAAAGAAGTTATTGTGTAAAAATTCATTTTCTATTGTTTGTATTCCAATTAATTTATTAGTGAGATTGAACAGTAAGTCAAAGAGATGCCAAAAATCATAGAAACATATGACATTATTCATTGTTTCTGTGATAAGAATGTTGAAGTGAGTTAGTATGAATGACATGAAACGTTCTAAAATCCGAGAATTTCAATTTCTAATGAGTCGTTAACCGTACACTTATTTCGTTCAGACTGTACCCGTCTAGTTGGCAGACGAGCTGTACAATATAGATTGATGAGCAATCTCTTTTATCAAGGTGATGGCTAGACTTGTTACGCGCAATAATCATTGAAAGAACATCCTCAGAAAAACCAAAATCCAGTGCCGAATCGTTTGCATTTGAAGCTACGTCCTTAGCATTTAGTTGTGCATTACAAGAATCTCCTAATGCAGCACGAGATATCCTTAACATTTGTCGATATAATTAACAAGATAAATGATTTCTGAGGTACTATAATAATCATGAGAACGAATTTGATCCATTTTGTTTGTGGTACAGAACTTTACCACTGAAGACTAAAAGTGACTACAATAACATACAAACTAACTTTACACGGAAAATTAAAATAAACGTGAGTGAACAAATTAAGTATAACATAAAAATTGTCGTTTTTTGCGTGACAATTATTTCTGGAACTATTAATCATATGATAGTATATAAACTATACGTCCGTCATAACCAGATCGACGTTCTCATACTAAAGTTTGATATATTTAGTTTTGGAGGCTACTTACGTTTAGAGTTACATGAAATATTTTCCTTAATAGTGTTGAATTTCTTATCCAATCATAATTGCAAACTTATGAAGTCGGTAAAACTAAAACCCCGCGATCTGGGAGCTGTGTGTACTTTTGATAAGCAGGACGGTAAAACAATCCTGAACATAATGAAAGGGAACTGTAAGGAGTACTAAATCTTGCGATAGTTATAACACTTTTTACACGTGGTATAGTTGTTAAGCAGAGATACATTCGGTGGGTCAGTCTATCACACGATGTGGGTTTTGATGATCGACAGAATCTGTCCTCAAACATTTATAGTGCACTCATTTTCCAACACCTTACACAAGAGAGCTAACTCGATCCTGCCCGAGTATGACAAAAAACGAGTTCTGTTACATAGTGCAACTAAGTATCAATGAATCAACTTCCTTACACCTGTTACCGCACATAGATGAGCTAAGGCCGCCTATTAGCGTTATCCATCCAACTCTGTTCTGAACAATCCTTTCCAGTTATTTCTAGTCCTTATTAATTCTTTTGACACCTGCTTCCAGTTCTCGACGCTATGTGTTCTTTTGTCTTTGTCTTTACCGTTCCTCTTCAGGATTGCAAGTTAGTGCTTGCCTAGTGATGCGGTTTGATGATTTCCCCAACGTATCTCATACCCACTTCTGACGTCTTTCCTTAAGTCCTTCTACAGTTGGAAGTTGGCTTGTTCTCTCCTACAGTAGACTGTTGGTATCTGGCCAACGGAAATTGAGTATATTGTGTAGACAACTGTTTATAAATACCTGTACGTTTTTTAATATGGTTGTAGTAGTTGAATATAAGTTGCCAGTTAGTTTCGTTTGTTATGTCTAGTCCAGCTCTATCATGCGGAGCTGGAAACAGGGGTTTAACATAAGATTTTCCATTGGGATTTACTTAGGGGATTTTCATACAAACAGTACGAATAATGAAATGAAACTTGAAGGTTTACTTCATCGCAACTATCTAACAAACAGTTATGTCTCTGCTTAATAATAATTTATGTCACTACAGACAGACAAATCTCCATGAGTAAAAATACGTACATTCATGTAGGATTAAAGTTTTCATATGTGAATAACTTCTGTAACAAAGGTAACACTTTGAGGATGCCTCCAAGGTGTTTTATTCAGGTGTATCGTTAATCCTTTAATTTTTTACCCTTCTTTGCACTTTCAATTTTCTCTAGGACATAATCTAACCATGATTTGTTTTTCTCAATTTTCTCTCATCTAGTTATTGTTATGTAACTTCGGTTAAGTTTTAACTTAAGTATTTTTGTCGACACACGATGCTGGACCATTTGAAGTAAGATTCTTCTTGACCCAGCTCTGGGTTATATTATGGAGCGGCTGATAATATATTATATTTCTGCAATGGCATGTACACGCCGTTTTTACAGGCATGATCTATAAACTACAACATTTATTGCTTCAGAGTATGCATGTTAAATAAATATGGCCTGTAGCGGTAAATAAATCCCCAAAATAAATAGCCCTGTAAGTTTTCGACATTGGATGCTGACCATATGTTTTAGTGGATAGGCATCCGCACCAGATCACGTGTGGTAACGCCGTGCTCAACATCTACCGCAATCACTAGCCAGATTAGATCAGAGAATTCCGATATATTGGTTATCGCCAATTATACTCTTCCGATCTCCTCGACTCTGTCTTTTGATCTCTCTGGGTGGGAACGAATCAGATTAGAAGGTGTTACTGGTAGAGGCGTTGTCAAACACTGAATACCTGTGTCATTCCTTCATTAGTGAGCTCGACGTGATCTGGTACACCTAATTGCAACTGTGAGTCTGTTTTTTGGGGGGATTCATCTGCCGCTACAGATCATTCCCCCCTCTTGTAAAAGTGAGTATCAGTTCATTCCCTTAGGTATACTGAGTAATCTTCAAAATGTTTTTCCAAGTGACATCGCGTCGACGTTACACACCAGATCCAATCTCGGCATAATTGTGTTAGGATTTTGGTCGTGCTAAGTAATTATACAATGAAACTTTTTAAGTTTATAATTGTTATAAAGTGGGCTTGTAGAGCGCTTGGTGTGAACTATGATCATGGGGAAACACGTACGCCTAGTTTCTTCCAAATGTCAGAAGTTCCATAGCTGTGCCATAAGAGCATGATTCTGAAAAAAGGGAGACCAAGGAACAGCAACGTACTTGGACATTAACAATAAACAATACTTAACATTTTGTAGTGGAACACACAGAGGTATGATAAATTATTATTATTAACGGCTTTATTCAATATTATATTTTGGTACAATATAGAATTCTCAGCACAGGGTATTTCAACAAATTACTTACGCAAAGAACAGTAACAAAGACAAAAAAATGGTTCTTAAAAAAAATTGAAAAACTACAACTTTCCAAATTAAAGACATGTTTAGAATGCAGGTTGTTGACTAGGTTAACTCTAACAACCTGTTCGTCACACAGTATATTTGCTAGGTAAGGTATCATAGAACTTTTATACTTTTGTTTGCGTGCATGGATTTTAATTTAATTACGTCTCGTTCTACCAGAAGCTATTCAAGGAGAAAGATAAAAGTGAAGGGGATGGCTAGTATTTGATAAAATAACACCTGCCAGGAGTTTGCATGACTCAAGATGTCTATCCACAACCACATTAATTATAACCTCGAAAGATTCACCACACATCTTTCTAACTGCTTTCAGCACTCTTCGCAATACAGCAAAGTCTTTTCTCAAAAGCCCGCTAAAGAATAATGGAGAACAGTAAAAAACAATAGGTAATATGCAAGAATTGACAAATTGTAAGAGTAAATGACGAGTAATCCCAAGAGCATGCAATCTCTTTATGTAGTAAGTCAGATGGAAAACCTTCTTTGATAACAATAAAACGTGGGAAGACCAAGACAGATCAGAGGAAAAGGTGACACCAAGATAATTGACCTTCGACACTGTGTTTATCAAAGAGTCTCCGATGGTACAAGCATTATGGGATCTCAAAATGGTGTTTGGATTCCGTTCATGTCTCATGCTAAAGTTAACAGCTTGATATTTAGACGGATTAAGTATGAGACCATTACCAACAGACCAACAATCAATACGAGACAAAAGCTCATTCATTTCTGTGGGATGTAAAGAGGAAGAGATAGGCATACATACAGTGAGATCACCCGCATATTTCACAAAAGTGACTTCTGCGGAAGATGTCAGATCATGAAGAAAAAAGAGAAAAGAAGAGGTGAAAGAATACCTCCTTGTGGTACACCTTCATGAGACAGTAGAGACTCTGAACACTTTCCTCCAAACACAGTGTACTGTTCCCTTCCAGAGAGGTAGGAACATGGCCAGTTGGTTATCCAGCTGTCAGTGTTGACGCTGATTAACTTTTTAATTAAACGTTGTCTTGGTATAGGATCAAAAGCTGAAGTATAGTCCAGAAAAGCACATCGAACATACTTCTTTCCCTTTCCTAAGTTGAACAATATATTGTGATACAGGACAGCAACAGCATCTAAGGTGCCTCTCTTACATCTGTAAGCAAACTGATACGGATCAATATGCTCTTTTATCACAGGCTGGAGTGGAAGTATTAATAATTTTTCCACTGTTTTGAGGGAGGGTGAAGTTATTGTAATGGGTCTAAATTTCACACTCCTATCACCAGATACTTTCTTTGGTACAGGGGTTATCTTCATCTTTCTCCACATTTTCGGCATGAGATTAGATGAGAAGGATCTGTTAAAGATAGTTGTGAACGGATAACATAGAACGTCAGCACATTTTTTAAAAAGGAGGTTTGTGATGCCATCAGGTCCCAAACGTCGGGATGAATTAAGTGCCTGGAAACATCTTCGGGCATCAGTTTCAGTGAAAGTAGGAACACAGCTATTCTTCAAACCTGTGGATAAAGGGAGCATCACGTCAGATGATTGACGTACAAAAGACTTATTTAAGTCACAAACATTCAGCTGGTTATCGCTTCTAAAATGTCTGTCACCTGTAAGTTCTTTAAAGAGTTTCCACATACTTGGAGAGTTTTTGGAAGACAAGAGTTTTTGAGTAAACATAGAGTTGAAACGTTTAATCTCTAGGTTTATCAGACCATTTAGCTTACGAACTTCACTAGAGTTTTTCTCCTTGTACATTCTTTTTTTCACCCTCCGTATTCGTTTTAGTTGTGAAGATATAAGTCGATCAAAACTTACAAAAAATGGTTTCAATGACACAACAAATATCAAAACAGAATTTAAAATAACAAGTGGTAAGATCAGTAGTGATGTCCAGTGAGTCATCTGTAAATAGTTCCCAGTTAGTCGTATGAAACATGTTTTTCAGATTTCGGATATTTTCTTCTGAGTAATTCCTATATTTGACTTTCTTGGTTTGATGTAAGAGTGTACTCTTCCCATGCATTCCATATACATTAAGTAGAACATGAGTTATACAGTGATCTGAGCTAGATAATGGGGCACGTTTATGAGTCGCTTATATACCCACATCATTAATGAAAATGAGGTCTAAATGAGCATCCAAACGGGTAGGAAAATCTGTAGAACTATGGTCTACTATGATATTAATACTGCTTTAATAATAGACCTAATCCTAAATTTGTATATTTGTCATGATATAACTGCCTAATCCATAAGATCTTACGTGGAAGTCACACCATCGACTACACCAACTCACTGTATCGTATCAATTACCAATACATGATGTAGAACAAGGTTAGGCTAGAGAAGGAACAATATATTTAATATGAATAGAAGATATAAGGTAACATTCAGATGGACCACGCCTGCATGGTCGAGCCATGCCATCCGATCAACTCCAGTCCATTCAATTCATTCTCCGCGCCTTCTCCATTGTTAGGTATTTCCCCGAGTTAAATATTGAATATCTATTTTCTGAGTAGTCTCGTGTTCACAGCTTTGTGGATTGTGTGGCTATTGTCCAATGCCACTACAAATCCACTACATTTTGGTGATCTAGTGACGTAAGGAAGCTACAGTAACATGAATTGAAATCACCATATCCAACTGAAAGTGAATCACTGAAGGCAGTAACAGAAAACTCAGTGAAATCATCAGCGAAAACAGATAGCGCAGATGAT